TGTTGAATTTTCTGGAAATTTCCATTCCTTTTTTTTAATAACACCATTAGCAAGATAAATAGTAATGGTGTTGTCAAATGCGAAGAAGGAGGCATTCTCGTCAAAGAAATGTATGTCTGTAAGTGACATATTCCACTCCGAAGGATTTTTAAAGGTTATGTTGAAAATGTCTCCCCTTTTACTGAGCATCATAAGCAAATAAGGAAAACCACTGCACCACGAATCTAAAATTATTTTCATTTCAATTAACAGATCTCCTTACTTAAAACATTAAAGATAAACCACTAACATTTATCTACTTTTTAATGCGAAGGGGAATAAACAGCTATTATACTTCTTGTCAAGAGATCTTTACTTAGATCTTTTCACATTTAGTCATTGCTGGGACGCAACAAAAAAGGATTTCATTTCTGAGACAATACGACCGTCACATGATCCTGAATTGCCGTATTATTCTTTTTAACAACTACAGAAAGGAGAAACCAAGATGAACGTTTGTGAACGTCTGATAAGTTGAGCGTAGGACAGTTGTATTATTGTATAGGTCACATAACCTACAATACAGAATGCATTTCTTTCGTAGCGTTGTCTCGGCTAAACGCAGCCAGTTAAGGCTACAAAAAGGAGGCGGAACCTATTTTGTACAGGAAATTTATATTTACAACATGTATGACATCATACAAAACTGACAATTCTTATAAATACCACAAAATGAAATGATTTGCTATTTAAAACTGTATGAGACCATCAAACTACATCAAAACTTAATATAACATGCTGTTTTGTCTTTAGTAAAATCCCACATAGCAAGGTATAAACAAGTCACTGATTGCGATGCACTTTCCAATGTTACGTCATTTCGTAAAACTTGACGCAGTTTGTATGTAGTGAGAGGCGGATCAAGTAATATTTTCACAAAGTAAATGTATTTTATAATTAGATAAAATATTATTTGCAAATAATATGGTTGCAATGTCTTTTTTATAGGAATGGCAATTTCTAACCGGTTAACCGATTACTCGGTCGAAACGATGGCAATCGGTTAGAAAATCTGTAATCGATTAGTCGAAAAAAAATTTATGATATATGTAAAATTGTAGGCAATGTTCTAAAATTCATTTTTAAAATAGAAATTCCTACCTAAACGTTTAATTTAGCGTTTTCATATATTTATTTAGGCTGACTGGGAGGTAATTATAGCTCTCCGGATTAAAATTGCGGGGTAATTGGTCAGTCTGAGATATGTTAATTACTGTTAAAACAACATGTCGTTACCCCGACTGTCCTCTAATTTTTTAATGATAATAATCACCGTTGAGCACCGTGAATTGGTGTGTGTATCTTTTGCAGTTATCTATCAAATTATATTATAATTCAAACATTGTAAATTAAGTAATACATTTTAGACTTAGTTTTGATTATGGTGACAATGAAGAATGAACTTGTGTGACATCCGCTCTGGAAAATTATCCACGATATCTCAGGCATGTTTCATGGTTTTCTGAATTTTTTCTTGTCTATTGAAAAAAAAATATGCGCGTAGTTTTCTGATCAAGACTAAAGACAAATAGAATGATTTTGACCTTTAACATTTTTTTTAAGACTTCTTGTGCATAGGGATAGAGCTAATTGAAAAAAAGTCAAGAAAATGACATTGTGTAGTTTGATACGATTAACCGGTTAATCGGTCGGAACGTTTTGCGGTTAACCGATTAGCAATTCTGTATTCGATTGCCATCCCTACTTTTTTTTTATTATTTTATTCATATATATGCAAGTACACCGGAAGGTAATGTAAGGGTCTTAATAAAGCGATCTAGTTCAAGGGCATACATTCAATGCATCATAGTAAGCTTTTACAAATAAACTCTAGAAGTTTTATGGTATTTGAAAGGTGCTGCGATCCTGGTGAAATCTTGAAAATGAATTGATTACATGTATATTTAATGCCGTTGATCAGCACAAAATTAAGCATGCGGTCATACAAATATGATTTTAACAATGAAATAGCAGAATCTATATAGCACTTTTCAAAAACTTCAATGCGTGTTGAAAATATAAATAAATCTTAAAATTTTAATATGGTTTAGCCCTTGCACGAGTGAAACTTATGCGTGACATCAATACTCAGTATATGTGTAAAAAGCACGTGATTGCCCATCACGTGACAAGTCTAAATATAAAATCTAATCGTCCTCAATGTGTAGTTAATGACCATAATTGCATTTTCACGATATAAACAAAGTACTAAAAATCGCCATTCCGATTAAGATTTTTTTTATTTTTAATCACAATTACCAATAGTTCCATTGCGCATGTTAACTGTTCTGCGAAAATTTATTTTATAAAGTTACATATAGATTTAAAACATATTGAGGGGAGATCAAAAGCACGTCTTAACTGCTATTAAATCTTTAACAATCGTATGTTATTAACAAAATTTTATGTATTAATACCCCTGTCTATATTTCTGATCATACAATGGACAGTGGGATGGCTTTGAAAATATAGGTCCTGTGTTACAGTAGGATATATCACGATATTCATAGGAATTCACTGAAACGGCCTTAAGACCCAGGACCCAGGAATGGGTCAAAATTTTTAACAGGTCAGCATAAGTTTGATTGCCTCCTCATGAGTGGAACATTCTCGAAAAATATACAATCAGCAAACGAATGGACAATTATAGAATTCCATGGACAATGTTGACTGTCATCTTTCATACAGATCGTTAGGCCATCATCTCACACTAAATCGTCTATGGATTATTCCAGTTGCCTGATCATGACAAACAGCACACTCCTGTTAACTCCTCGCTGACACTTGTTCCCACCTCTAATATTTTGAGAGGTCCGTGTTTGCTCTGTTCCGAACATTTAATCTTGATTAATGTTCGTGATTTTCATATTTTATACAGCATAAATAAATAAAATATATTGAAATGCCATAGCTTCAATTGCTGCATTGAGTATCTTTATTGATTACCTTAAATTTTAATAGTAAAACAAAAAGAAATCTAATACAAAAATATTTAGACAATGATAAAGAAGGAAGAAATGTTTGTTCAAAAAACATATTTTTTTCACTTCGTTGTAAGTGTTATTCATTTGTTATATTCCAAATTAAAACCGTTGAGAATCCATTTCCTGATAAGAGTGTCACAATTTTTATTCAAGTGTACAGCGCCATTGTAGTACCTCATAGTGTATAAAATCTGCATTAAACAATGTACACTTGAGCGTATTTAAAAGTCAAGGAAATGATAAAATCAGGGATTTTATTGAGAAGATAATATAAATAGAAAAGGTTTTTTTTTAAAGGGCAAACATATCTCATCTACACATTTTTACTTTTTATTGCGCATGAGCAGATGAATTTTTAAAATTCTGATTGGTTTTCCGCTCTCTTCTAGAATTTTTTTCTGGTTAAAATTTTCATCTTAGAGGAAAACTGACGTAAGTTACATTTAAGTTTGTAAGAATCAATAATTTTTAATTACATCGATGTTTACTAATAACATGAAAAATGGTACTTTTTAGAATAAAAATGATATTGAATCGATGAAACACGATGAGAATATTTTTTTTTTAATTTCAAACCGGTTTTAGCAATAGTAATTTTTATTTCTTAAACAGATAAGTTTCGTCATTTTGACATATTTCTTTTGATTATTTCCGTATATGAAAACTTTTGGTTACATTTTGTATGAAACATTGTCAGGATGGAGGCCATTAATTGTTTGTTAGTAACTTTTAAAAAAAACTATAAGTCACTTAAAGTTGATGGTTAAAATTTCAGATTAAAAGTAGAGATCGCTTATGTGAGTATATTCAAATTAAAAAAAAATAAAATCAGAAGAAAAATTTATAACGAATTGTATAATGTCTTGAATTCTGGAAACATTTTATATAGGATAAAAAGTTTATTATTCAAAGTTACAAAAATGCACAACTTTTAAGGAATAAGAAGAAACTGATATTCTTATTTTTTTTATTATTATTATCTTTCAATTTCGAAAGTTTGAGGTAATGATAAACATGGTGGTATAAATCTGAATCCATTGTATGCATAAAATATAATATTATTTTAAATACTTACAAAAATGCAGCGAGAGAACAAGGAAGTGAATGAATACAGTATCCATTTTTCCTACAGCTTATATGATGCTTAATCTTTGTACCAATTAATTTTTTTTCACTCTCTCTTTCCGGCTTTAATATTCATGAATTGCATACTACTATATAATGTGCGTTACAAAAAAATAATGAATAATATACTTCCTGTAAGTATCTTGACAGCAAGTAAAACAATAATTATTGGGGATTCATATCTTTTTGCAGATTAAAAAAAGGTAAGAGGAAAATTTTCTAATTTTTTCTTTCGATATAGAAAAGAATTTGTTGGTTGACTTTTACATTTTTTATCACCTGAAGTTGCCTATTCTCTTTTGAACTATTCAGGTTGGTAGTAATGCTTTAGAGTAAAAGCCATTTACGAAGGATTCTCTGAAGAAATGTCTATTTTTTCAGTTTTGTAATACGAGTGAAGTGGCGAGAAGAATACAGACATTGCTAAAGTTTGTCTGTTTTCTTGTCACTTTTATGAATGTTAACACTTTGCAACTAAACATAGGTCACAGAGATATCGCAGGTTTATTATGAATTGCCAAATGTCATCAATATGTTGATTGAAATTCAAAAACATGACCAAAATCACAGCCAACTTGTGGCATTTGAAATTTTCAAATATAATTTATAAATTTATATATCCAGTAAGTGTGAGTTTTCCCGTCTTTGGGAAATTTTTGTTTAAATATTATGTAAACTCCTTTGAATATATTTTTAATTTTATCTTTAATTGAAATTAACAGTTCTTTGGACTTTATTTTTGAAAATGCTTCTTAGAAAGATAAATGGATAAGTGTTATTCTCCACATAGTTTTAGATATTTATGGTTATAGTGACAAAATATCAGTAAATTTTTACTTGTAACTTACAGAAATGGATCAATCAGAAAGTTCGAGCTCTAAGATGAAACTTTTGCAAGAACTTCTAAAATGTAATATATGCTTTGACACTTTATCGAATCCAAAGATTTTAGAATGCCATCATTTTTTCTGTTCTGATTGCATTCAACGTCATCATGAAAAGTCGCAAGAGGGAAACCAGGCCTTTTGTCCTATTTGTCGACGTCCTTTTGTTCTCGATTTTTCTGGAGCTGAGGATCTACCACCGTGCCATTTTGTGAATGAATTGCTAGAAAAGTTTTCGAAAGAGTCTAATCTAAAGAGAAGCAGTAAATTCGAAAGAATTTGCCAAGGGGTGTGTTTGAAAAGGAAATCAGAGGTAAAGGCTACCTTTGCTTGTCCTCCATGTGGAATTGATTTGTGTGAGGATTGTTTGGAGGCTCATCAAGTCTTTAATGCTCATCATCAAACTGTTAATGTTGAAGATTACCAGAGGCCGCTCATGTTTCAGTCACCAGAAATGGAAGATGAAAACTTATTGTGTGATCAGCATTTAGAACACGATCTTTTTGAACTCTGCCTTGATTGCAAAGCTGTCTTATGTCATGTTTGTAAAGAAAAACACCATGACCACAATTGTATTACATTGGAAGACATAAAAAGTAATGCTCAAATCATGAGAAATAAGCTGCGCAAGATTAAAAGTGAGTTTGATAGAAGGAGGGAAGATGTAAAGACTTTTGAGTTCTTTCTAAAAACCAGCGAAGCAAAGGCTTTGAAAAGAATACAAAGCACTCATAAAGAAATAAGGGAACGGATAGATATTCAGAAGACAGAATTTGAAGAAAAATTGAAGTTGCATTCCGAAAATCTAACTGGAGAAATTGCTGAATCTCTCACCAAAGTGGACACGAATTCAAAATCAATTGAAAGCATTCTGGAACTCATTCATACACTTCTTGCATTTGGAAATGACAGATGTTTTTTGATGTACTGGCAAAACATTCAAGATAGATTTCATAGCATTGCCATAGATAACATAGAATTGCCAAATGTGGAGTTCAAAGATACTATTCGTTTTAATCCGACCGATCCTGACAAGTTATCAATCGGGGCTCTGATTCCTACTAAACCCGATATTGAATGGATAAACATGAATCAAAATAGAGGTATTCCGTCTTTTTCCTTCTTTCAACTTCATTCTATCTTTTTTAAAATATTTTATTTAACAATACCTTACATTTTAGAAGGTTTGACCATACTCCTATATTTCTTTATTAATGTTTTTTGTTTGTTTGTATGTTGTTTAACGTCCCTCTCGAGAATTTTTCACTCATATGGAGACGCCACCACTTGCCGGTGGAGAGCTGCAAATTTTGTCCTATACTCGGCACTTACAGTGGCTGCAACGTTATTGTTGACAACTTACACGAACGATCACGTTACACGAACGATTCCGCACGATTAACGCACGATAAAACCTGTTACACGAACGATCCCTCACGCACACGATTCTACACGTTACACGATCTTACACGATTGCTAACGCAAACGCACGATTCTTCACGCAAAATAGTTCAAATTCTTTAGGAATGGATATTTTCAAAACGAAATAAGGCTTGATACTTATTTTAGATTTCAAATAATTATTTATATTATTTCATCGACTTTGAAAAATAATTTTAAAAAAATTGAATTGGTTATTTCTGGAACTAAATATATGTAAGACTTATTAATTATTTTAGATAACAAATAATTATTTACGTAATTCTCCGACTTGAGAAAACTGATTTTTGTCGTTCTATCAGAAAATGTACATGTAGCTGGACCGTGAGCTTTGATTGAATTGATTTCGTAATATGCAGAAAGGGATAAATTTGAAAAAAAAAAAAGGCATGAAAATGAATTAAATTATAAGTTTTATCCATGTTTCTATTTGTGAGTCTCTAAAATCAACAATTATTTTACAAAAATAGTTAAAAGTAAGCTCCAGAGATAAACACTGATGAACGAAACCCCGACAACCATGTCGTGTACATGTACATTCCGAAAATAGAGATTTGTTTATTTATTTGTAAAAATATCTATTTTTGATCTATTGATTTCAAAAATATCTTGACTATAATTAGCAGTAAACATAATTAACATCAGAGAAAAAATCCTTAAACATCTAAGTATGGTTTATCACAAAAAATTACGCGAGTTGACAAGAACACAATATTGTACGACTTACTATATTGCCTATTTCCAAGCGATAATTAGTTCGTTCTGCTTTCAATTATGTAAATCGCGTTTCATTATTTTATTTGGATTGAAAAAAAAAAATCAGACAAGCGAAATGCTTGTATAACAAATAACATTCCGATAAAAACTTACAAAACGAAATTTACACGTTTCTTAACGCACGATCACGCACGATTAAAACCGCAAACGATTGAGTCTGATACACGCACGATCTCGCACGTTACACGAACGATCACGCACCTTACACGAACGATTCTACACGACTGGTTTGTCAACAATAACGTTGCAACCACTGCACGGCCATTGAGCAGTGAGGGATCTTTTTCATGCCAGCACCTACTGCGACACGGGACCTCGGTTTATACGGTCTCATCCGAAGGACCGGTCTCCACGTCCCACAGTGGGATTCGAACCCGCGACGTAAGGATCAACTCCTTACTCCGCGACTCTAGAGCAGACGCTCTAACCACTGCGCCACGCGGGCGACCTTTATTAATGTAATATCAAGAATGAACATTCATGAAATAATTTTCCAATAGGAATAATACGATGCATGTTTATCAAGTTTATGGGATCTGCGGTTGAGATAAACTAATTTATTATATAGTCTATTTATATTCCCCATATAACTACAAAGGCAAACGGTTCGTAACACTACAAATTCACCGGATCCATGCGCGTGCAGCGGCGATTGTGAGGTCACAATCAACCCTCAAACAAAGTTGTAAACAATGGTTGCAACGGCCAGAGCCAGCTGTGAATTTGAGCAGAAAAAAAACTCAGACAAGCCATCGCCAGATTATTCCAAACATGAAGAGGTCTTACACATAACGAAAAGAAAAGACAGAGGCTATATCTTGAAATGGGATATATTATATCTTTCTAAGACAGAAGTTCGTTAATGAAAATGGTGTCGTCATGCAACCTTCAATGTCTCATTTATTGAAATCCTGACTATATAATAAAACAATTATTGACTCTTCCGGTGGTGAATATGGTTTGTTATTTACCAGAAAAATATGGATATTGACCTCGGCTACGCAGCGGTCAAGATTGATATTTTTCTGATGAATAACAAACCATATTCACCAACGAAAGAGTCCATAATTCTATAGTTCCGAATATATAAAAATTCAGAACTGCAATAAAAAAAATAATTTAATCGTTCTTATTAAGCATTGATTTGTTATCTATTGATGTCACCTGTCGTATAACAGCACCTGGCTGTGACGTATGATAATTTTTCGGCACGTACAGATGTGTTTTACGATTAATTACATCCAAAAGTAAGAATTCAATGCTTATATTTACATTCTCTTATTTTCTCTCTTAGTAAATGTTTATTTCATTCATCCTTATTGTAAATTAAGCACCTTTCAGAACTGGTGCGGTAATAGACGTAAGAGCCGTTTGTTTTGAAAAATCAAATAACGCAAATAAATATTGCAAGGGAGTAGTATTACTAATCAATTTTAAAGTACATTTGTTATTTTTTACAACATTATTTTGAGCCAAAACTATATACATTTTGGTTTTCCTGTGTCATGTGTGTATTTAAAATATATGTTGTTTCTGCTGTGTATTCTATCGCGTCGTGACAAGATTTCTTTGTGTATAGGGGGAGGAATGTTGTAGATTTGTAATGGATTTCATAAAAAAAAGTTACACTGAATGTGAGTATAATATAATCAATGGCTCTAATATATAAACAAACAATTCATAGTTGAAGAAGAGAAGGAAGACAAAGAAGAAGTTCAAGACTTTTCCACATCTGGTTGGTATATTCGATAAAACACTACTTCTACAAATTGTAAGGACTAGCCTTGAATACGGAATAATATCAAATCTTGCTCTTATTACACTGAAATTTTGATGAGTAATTTAATTCTACCTCACTTGATTTCTTATTAATATTGTCAAGTCTTTTAATTCTACGTTAATTTGAGTGTTTAGAATTGGCAGAAATGTGAAATATTTAAATCGGTAGATCCTTTTTTCAATAATTTTTCTTCACATTTTATTTTATATTTTAGACTTTTATGCTATCGACTGATTTAAACATAGTTTATTGACATGTAAATGGGATGGATCACAAGTTATTAAATTTTTATTTGCCCTCTCCCAGTGATTAAAAGGGTTATTCATGTGTAGTGTAACGTAAATATATTCCAAGGAACAAATAGTGTGTATTCAATGAAGAAAATATAAGGCATATATATCAAAACACAGAAAAAGCAAACTAGATGGACAACTAAACTTCGTAATATCCATAATTCATTTAATTCTGTTGCCATTTCTCCTACTTATTATTCCATCCCATTGGAAAAATTCAATGAGAGTTTCATTACTTTAAAATCAGAAAGGTGAAGATCACAAACAGTGATCGTTCACAAAAAATTTACAAACAATACAAATTTGTGAACAGGGCATAAAACACGGACCCTCGGGAATTTACGAACAATACAAATTTGTGAACAGGGCATAAAACACGGACCCTCGGGAATTTACAAACAATACAAATTTGTGAACAGGGCATAAAATACAGACCCTCGGAAATTCCAGGGGTGGGATCAGGTGTCTTAGCGGAGTAAGCATACCTAATTGACCGGTCACACCCGCCGTGAGTCCTATGTATTTATCAGGTACACGAAATATTCCGTAGTCAAATCAATATGTAAACAAAGGCCTAAGAATTGGTATGAAACACATCAACCAAAATAAGACCCAGTGATATTTTATCGTCCTCATAGCATCCTCTTGAGAATCGAATAAGTTGGGAAAGGTAAACACCGCATACAGGTAATAGCGGAATATCACTAAATAAATAAGAACAGTTCATGTTCGAAAACCTGGTCATCTTGTTTGCCATACAATTTAGCTGTTAGCTGGTCCTTATCGTCTATAGTTAAAAGATATGGCAGACTCCGTAGTATCTTTTATTTTAAGTTCACTGGGATATATTAAGTAGACAAATGAATTGAATAAATCATTTTAATCGATAAAACGTCGTCGATTGATGTGAATTTCGAGTTGAAGGAATAGCAAGTGTTTTTTTTTTTTTCCTCTCATATAGACATTTTTTTTAAAATAAATTATGCTTCATTAAAAAAAAAAAATCAGGTCGGCCAATAAAGGAGCATAAAAGATGACCAATGTAGACATTGGAAATTAATTACTAGTAACTAATTGTTTCTTATATAAAGTTCCGTGCCTTCTACTGCATGTATTTTAGAAAGAATGTACCTGTCTGGTTCCCTTCACCAGGAACCAATGGGACCCCATGACAGCAAAGGACACGGTAGGGTTGTACAAATGTTAATTATTCTGTTTTATTCCTAGAAAAAAAATATATCATTTACGCAAAAATCATTTTATAAAACTCTTTTTAATTATATATGTAAGATAAAAAAAAAAATACTAGAAATAACCGTTCAGTTCCATAATGAAAATGTGAATAATTAGAGAAAGAAAAATACTCATAAATGTTACTATAAGTTAGCCTAAAATCACTTTTAATAAAAACTTTTTAAATTGTATATGTACAGTGTAAGATAAATACTAGAAATAACCATTTAATTCCAAAAAACAAAAATGTGTAAACATGTAATCAGAGACAGAAATTTATTTATAAATATGTTAGCTGAAAGGTTGGCTTGCACTTCAGATACTGCAAGGAGTCATGAGGTCATCGAACTGCAAATAATTCATTCTTTTCCTTTTTTCTCTAGATATCAGAGGTCTTAAATTTTGCACTTTTCAGAATCACAAATACTTCGGTAATACAGAAAAAACATTTATTTGCCAATTATTACTTTCTATCAGAAAAAAAAATTGTACACTAGTATTAAAAAAAAAAAAGATACGGATCTTATCACTTGAAGCACTTCCTAATTTATAGGAAATCCCAGAATGTTGATTGCTATATGTGAAGCAAATGGAATATTTATTTGTTCTATTCTATTTAAAAATCAACAAAAATATTTTATACATTTCATGAAAAGACTTGATTAGTTAATAAATTTAATTTACAATATGAAAAAAAAATATGACAAAAAACTAAAATAGAACATGCCTAAATTGGGATCAAATATTTAGTGGAAGTAATTGGGCTCAAAAGTAGGTGAGCTCCTAAGAGTTCAATACAATTTCTTTGAGAGTAAAATAAATTTCTTACACAGAACACCGAACTTTACAAGAACACTCAGAGCGCCAGTCTCTATTTAAGCAAAAAACACCCGTCACTCGTTTTCCTGGAGCAGACAACACCTACTTAACAGTATGGGAAAAAAGAGGTTGGTACTATTTCAAACTTGTCCTGATGAAACATGCATCGAAGTGTTAAATATATATGTATACAAAATGTCACAATACATTAACACTAACTGCAAGCACTTTCACCATGGCAGGCTCTTTATGATGATATACAAATGTCAGATAGGTCACATGGTAACATCAGTGACGTCATAAAAAGTTAAGGTAACAGAAAGACGCCATAATATATAATGTACATACATAATACACTCATAATGTTACTAAATAATATAAATTACAGTATTATTTGCAAATGCGATTGCTTTAAAGAGTTTAACAGAGTGCCCTTCCCTGGCCAGCGCAGATTTTCCTTCTTGGTTTGAAAAGGATATTTCGAAATGTTCCCGTGTTGCATTATGCACAATGTTCACAGCTGGGAGTATTCTTCAAACCAGAATTTTTAATCTTTTGCTTATGTATATGAACCCGGGCATTAGTTTCCCCGTTTGTCAAATATAATACTCTTTGCATGTCGGACAAACGACACAGTGGATAACGTTTTCCGATTTACAGTTCATCAATTGATGAGTTGGTTCGATTTGCATTCCGCATTTGAATTGGATTTCTGTTCTTTGGTTCACAACAAAGTTTATTTTCCTTTCTGGATGCAAGTGCACAGCATCTACATATAAGGTTTTTTTTCATTAAAATTTAGGACGCCTGTCCAATTCCAGAGTTGATTAGGTTAACTGGTAGTTTTGTCATTGCAAATATATTTTTCATTCTTCCAAACATCTAGAACACAGGGTCAAATCTGTAATGATAGTAATAATTGCTCATGATATCGTTTTCATATCAACGGTTGTGACGTCATTATGCTTTATTTAGTAACAAGGAAACATTTGTTTTAAAATCCCAAAAGTATTTTCAGTTTTGACTCGGACTGGCAATAAGCATTGTTGTAATGTATGTGACGAAATGTCTGTTTTTAAGTGGAAACGATTTTAGAGAAACGGAATTGCAATCATCATCATCATCATCATAAGATTCATAAGAAATAGATTAAATCTACAACAGATAATTTTGATAATCTTATTAATTGTCTAATAAGTAATAGCCTCCATCCTATTTATTTAATTCAACAGAAATATGTTGCTTATTTTATAAGAATCTGAGCTGGATGCTGAATCGGAACTACATGATTACCCACGTCTTCCTACACCTGTGCCTCACAAAATGACACGATTTGAAGACAAGATATGTCGTAAGACTTACCTTATTCCTATTTACTCATATTATCTGAGACAAGATATGTCGTAAGATTTACTCTGATACCGTATAGCGGGTTATTTTAGCAGGGTGCTAATTTTTGCTTATTTTGACATTTTGAAAGTAACCCGCTAAAATTTTAATCTCTAAAATATTCAGTACTCTTCTTAGTGTTCATATTCAAAGAGTTGAAACCCTTTGTCCGCTAAAATAAATTACGCCAAAATTGTTGGCATGCCTTTGAGCAGACAAAACGCCAAATGTTACACCCTCCAAGAAAACCCGCTACACGGTACCTTATTCTTATTTATTCATATTTCATCTGATTTACTCCGATATTTCAGTCTGATGCATTACTCTGAATCACTCGAATACTTAAATGGATACTCTTTTACATCTTGCTCTGATTTATTTTGAATTTCTGTCTGATTTACTCTGATCCTTTACTCTATCTTATTCTGATACCTTATATCTATATTCACACCTATTTCTTATAATTAGATAAGCCAGATATCATTGCAGTAAGCCTGGGTCATATAAAATGGGTTTTAATCCCATTTAAGCTGAGTTCATGTAAACCTTACATGTTTAATTTCACAAAGAAAATAAAACTGGTTCCCAGAACTGCAATGAATCTCGTTTTTTTTTTTGAGGGGAGAGAGAGAGAGAGAGAGAGAGAGAGAGAGAGAGAGAGAGAGAGAGAGAGAGAGAGAGAGAGAGAAAGGGTTGTTTTTGTTATTTATTTATTTTTTTATTATTATTATTTTTTTTTATTTTTTTTATTTTTTTTTCACTTTTGGTATTTGCAATAGGCATTACACAGAGAAAAGGTCCACATTTTAGTGAATGAAAGGCATATACGCCTTTACACTTATTGATAAAAGTGGACCAAAGAAGGATATCACCTCGATTTAAACAAGAGGCCCAAAGGCCTTAACGGTCACCTGAGTATTAAACAACAATCCATAGAGGATTCATAGAGTACATGTATAAAATAAATTGGTAGAAGAAGCTTTGTCGTCCAAAAGCAAGAGAAATAGGATGATCAGGTTCATCGAAATACTTAGTCTTGCATTTAGTAACAACTCATAAATTAAGAAATAAATAGTCTAGTATTCAGTAACAACTCATGAATTAAGTTCTAATCTTTTCCCATTTAGATTTTTTTACTATAAGTTTTATTTTCTATTATGGTCCTACCCTAATCCCCTCTTTGGAATGATGATTTGAACAATCTTGAATCTACACTACTGTAAATATTTTTTTATTCGCCAGAAATTTGTAGTCGCATAATTACTCGAGACAGTGTGCTCGCGAAAATTTAATTTCCGCATATATTAGTATTTCTAAAGATTATATTGAGCAATAACCACAATTCGTGAATATTCTGTCTCGCTAATTAAGAGTCAATATCTGATTAACAAAAATAAGGTGTTGCGAAAATTTAGTGATCTAAGTACCTGACGATACTTCTTTATTAAAATGACTAATCATGGCTTTGTTGTTCTTGAGAAGAAGATTCTTAAATGATATTTCCTATATATTCCTTACTAAAACTTTGATCACCTGTTGTGTCCCCTTCCTACACCAAGGGGGTCATTATTTGAACAAATTTGAATTAACATTACCCAAGGATGCTTCCACATTAATAAGACAAATCATGGCTTTGCTATCCTTTAGAAGAAGATTGTTAAAGATTTCTCCTATGTTTTCATGTGTAAATTTTGATCGTCCATTGTGACCCCACCCTAGTCCCAGAGTCATGATTTGAACAAACTTGAATCTACACTACCTGAGGATGCTTCCATGTGAATATGACGGATCATGCTTTGTCAAAAGAATTTTTAAAAAGATTTTTCCTATGTATTCCAATGCAAAACTTTCATTGTCTATTGTGGCCCAACCCTACCCCCGGAGATCATGATTTTAAGAAATTGGAATTTACATTACCTGACGATGTTTCCACATAAGTTTCATCTTTTTTGACCCAGTGGTTCTGGAGGAAAAAACAGATTTTTCCAAAATATTACTAATTTAACTTTGGACCATCCATTGTGGCCCCGCCCTACCCTCGGGGTCATGATTTGAACAAAATTGAATCTAAACTAACTGAGAATGTGTTCATGAAAAACATATTTTGTCATGTGTGTGTGTGTGTGTGTGTGTGTGTGTGTGTGTGTGTGTGTGTGTGTGTGTGTGTGTGAGGGTGTTTGTGTGTGTGTGTGTGTTAAAATCCTAAAAGGGGGAGGGGTCCCTGATCCTCAACCTATCCGCCTATGCAATTAAAGTAGTATGCTTATTCAAATTTTGCTGTAATTGATAATTATTCATAGGGAAAAACATGTTTTAATATCCCAAAAGCATTTTCAGTTTTCACTCGGACTGACAATAAACACTGTTGTAATGTATGCGATGACATCTCTATTTTGAAGTGGAAACGTTTTAGAGAAAAAAGATTTGCAGAGCAAAGTTCTCGTCATAAAAATAGTGAACAATAAATAAATAATCTACAACAGATTTTATCATCTAAAAAGTTGTCCAAATAGACAAAGACTCTCCATCCCATTATGTTGTTATAATAACACTTAACATTTTAACTAACAGATTTTAAAATGAAAGCCCTTCTCAGTGGTATACATAGATATAACACAGACTTGAATACGGGCACTTGTCTGGTTAACTCAGATTAATAATGATGGCTTTATTTAATTATATTTACATTTGCAAATGTTTTCCCTTATATAACACTATTTGAACAAGGCGTTTTTACACCTGTGTAAAACACGTTCGTCATGTGACCATAAATTGATTGTTTAGTCATAAACGATCTACGTAATTTCATAGTGACGTCATAAGTGATCGACGTGTTCAACACATTCAAGTTATACCGTTGAGTTTTGAAAAAAATAAATCATTTATGGGTTTAAAACTTTAGTACCTTACTATCTGTTATAAATCAGTCACAAATGTAAATATAAGTAATAAGGTATCATTTAAAAGTTTTATTGAGATGTAAATACGGGTTGGCATGTGATCAAATCTACCATAAAGCCCTTCGGGCTTTATGGGATTTGATCACATGACCAACCCGTATTTACATCCCGATAAAACTTTTAAAATGATACCTTATTTCTTAAAAATAATATTGTACACGGAATTCTCTGTTTTCAGATAATATACTTTGATTTAATTTGTTATCTTCTACTTGTACCGTTCACGGTAGAGCGCTCACTCCGTGATCGGGAGGTCGTGAGTTCGAATCTCGGCCGCGACGGACCTAAGTCGATAAAAAAATAGGTAGCAACTGTTCTTTCGCCATGCGCTCGGCACTCTGAAGTGAAAGTTGCGGGTCCTTCGGATGAGACCTTAAAAACCGAGGCCCCGTGTCACGGCAGGCGTTTGCACGATAAAGATCCCTCACTGCTCAATGGCCCTGAGTGCCGAGTAAAGGTCAAAATTTGAAGCCCTTCACCGGTATATGGTGACGTCTCTATATGAGTGAAAAATTCTCGAATGGGACGTAAAACAATATACAATCAATCAATCATCAATCTACTTGTACGTACTCTGCTATTTGATATCTGGATTTATTTTCTCTCTGAATGCCTGTGATACCCTTACGTACAGCTGAATACTGACAGGAAGTGATTTTTTGTTTATATTTAGTCAAAGTCAAGCATGAAATTTTTGAAATACATGAAGTATATCCGTATTAACTTAATTTAACTTTTAATAACCGTGAAAATATGCAACTTTAATTTACTAGGATAAATTGTTCTTGAAACTCAGCTTTACTATTGACAAGTCTGTAAAATCAGAAATGTTGAGATTTTTTTTTTTCAAATTGAAATACGGATGACTTCTGAGATAATTTCAAATTAGACTGTGTTTTATTGTGTAAAAACTACAATTGAAAAGCTGTTAAAATTTATATCATATGTAACTTACATTGACTTCAGTGTACATGCCAAGCTTAGGGATACTCTATCATCTGGTTATTTTTATTTTTTTTTTTTACTAATGAATATGCAAAAATATTCTGGAAATAATTGAGAGCTTTTTATAATTCTGTTTTTACCATTTCCAGAGCATATATTTTTTTCCCTTTATAACATTTTTTATGACCCCCTCGTAAAAAACTTCAGTTATCATAACGTCACAAACTCACTATTACGACGTCCACCTACCTATCAGCTAAAGGTCGTTAAAAAATCAGTTGTTTAAAATAAGATAAGAAAGTTTACTCTGTTATTGCTTAATTTGTTTAATTTGATTAGATGTGTGAAAAAAGTTGCTTTAAAAGAGTAAAAACACTTGATTTTATTATGCTGCGCGAAGTATCGCGCAATGAAAACCCCAGTCGGTCCCCTTTAAATCAGTAGCTTATAAGTAACTATCATCGCTAATTATAGTTACTACTGTATTAACAGTTACTAACTTAAATTTATAAAGCCATTTAAAATTTTGTTTAAGGAGTGATGACACGAAAAGAAAAACCAAAGTTTTGTACAAACCTTCCGGTGACAGGTAAGTACGCCGCTATAACGGGAGACAACAAGGTACTAAATATAGAATACGTTCTTGATTATGTGAATATCACACCAGCAAATTTGAATTCTCTATGTTTCGGTCTATAAGAACACATAGTTGATATGATATCAATATAGCTTAGAAAAAATTCTGATAAATTGTATAGAATTATTTTGAAAATAAAAGTGTTGACTATATATATGGAAAAGGAGAGACCAGAAGAGCTGTGGAGAGACCGACACAAACAATAAAGGGTTATAGTGGTACTTTTTTGTCTTCCTGTATTCTAGGAGGGACTCTTTTGAAAAATGGCAATGTTGCGCTTGCAAGTTATGGTAAAAGAAAGGTTTCCATTTTTCGCCTGACGGGTCAGAAGATAAGGGATTACAAAATTCAAAATCCATGGGATGTTGCAGCAAGACTGGATTGCGTTGCTGGGGAACTCTTGTTTGTTTCTGTTCTTAAATCAGGTATTTGGATAATTTATTTTATTTTTATGGAATCTTCCAGATTTTATTGCTTAAATATTGCTATATAATACGATGAATTTAAAATTACAAACAACTCTTAGCAGGAAAGCAGACAAACTGGAATAGAGAATATCATTTATTTATTTATTTTATTTTATTTTAGTATTTTTTGTTGTTGTTGTTGTTGTTGTTAATTGATATATTTAAACCTTTTTTGCCTTAAATAGAAAAAAGATCAGCCAGAATTGATCAAATCAACCTTAGTGAAGAGAATCGAATAACCACATTCACAAGGAATGTTGTTTCTCCATGCGGGATCGCCTTCACATTGAATAATGAACTATGCGTCTGTGAAAAGAAAAGTTGCAAGCTAGTGATTTTTGGTGAAGATGGTGGAATAATTCGGGAAATAATCAACACAAACTTTATATGTCCCTGGTACATAGCAGCGAAATCTCATGACGAATTGCTCCTCTCCGACTTCTACGCTTGTTGTGTTTGGCATCTAAATTCATCCGGAGAGATAATCGAAAAGTTTGATAAAACGTCAGAATCTGATCCAACTCAGTTTCATCCTGCTAAATCTGTATATAGCGATAGAAAGATTTTCATCAGTGACCAAGATGGAGGAAAAGTTCGTATTCTCTCTCAAACAGGACAGGTTCGCACAGTCATTGCACGGCTTGATCCGCATGAGGATAATTTCTGTCCTGTAATTTTACTTGCGGACGACAATGGTCATCTAATTATTGTATCGAAAAATGGTGAAGTTTTTGTCATGCAAATTCCAACGGAGGACATGAAGATAAAAATATTTTGATAACAAACGTTTAACTTATGTTCGATTGATTAATTCATATGTACAGCTTTATAAATTTGGTAATAATGAGTACCGAATTCACACTATCAGTACTAATTGATTGTGTATCTTACAATGTTCAACTTCTTACAAGCTAGAGCAAGATTTTAAGCATGTGTTTTTAAAAGTACGGATATCGTTAATCAAAAATAGGAAGACGTATGTTTACTTTTAAATGTTGCAAAATCTTTATTGTATTGTTAGTTTGTTGTTTAACGTCCCTCTCGAGAATTTTTCACTCATATGAAAAATCTTTATTGTAAAATACCAGTATGTCATTCAAATGAAACAAAATTATTTACTGCATGGTTTCTATACTTCCGGTAACAATATAGGACAGATTGGTATTGACTAACCGATTGTGTGAGATTGGCTAACTGGTAGGTGACACAACAGTCAGGAATACATCTTGCCGTCCTCATGCATGTGCGAGTTGAAACTATTAAGTAAATCCTTACTTAAAGTATTATGCAATGCTATACGGAAAGCAATAAAGAAAAAGGAAAAGGACTATTTTGTAAAATGCACTGTAACTTAAGGACAGACGATACGTATACGGTCCTCAATAATATATATTTTTTTCCAAGCTTTTGTCATTGAAGTATTGCTACTTTAACAAGTTTACTCACAAAAAATTGAGGTACCTTACCAGGCATTTGTGCAAGATACCAGAGGATAGTTTTCTTATATAATCCTTTTGGAAAAAACCTAATTTGACAATATCACTTTTTTTAGTGTTTGGATTTTTTAAAGACGATTAGAAACTGGTTTAGAAATCAGAAGGTAATTAAAATTTTGAATATTTTTCACATATTACGAAGATTTACATAACAGATAATCTGAGGAAAGTATTGTCTGTCCTTAAACCTAAACTGAATGTAAACTGAATTATTTAAACTGAAGAATTGAGTGTTTTTCATTGGTCCATTTAATTTTAATGATTTTTGGGGTGCCTTAATGGCCTTATTTGTGATTTGTGAATTTATAACGGATTTTATTGATTTTGTTATTTTTTGCAAAAGTCCAGGTTTTTGCACATCATAAAACATTGTTGTTGTTTTTTTTTCCAATAAAAATGGAAGTCATACATTTCCTTACCTTTCATTGGTCATTTGCAAAAGTATTTGGTTAAAAAACTTCTTGATTGTACTTAAAACTATACCAAATAAAGTTAATGTAAAAAAAAGATGCTTCAGTTATTTATGTAGTTTTTGGAATTCAAGTCTTCCAGCGATCTGTCAGAATTTCCATGGATATTTATTGCACCCCTTTATTAGCAGACCTATTTTTGTATTCATATAAAGCAGACTTTACAACTTTTCGTTTTCTCCATATTTCACTTTAAAACTTCTACGTGAAAAGAAGAAGTCTCTTGATATGGCTTTAATTCTCGATTAGATATATCGACAAAGGTTTATAAATTAATGAAATATGGAGATAACGAACATAAATACAATTGAGTTGATATGCAAGAGCAAGCTCTACGTACGAACAATTCCAAGGCAAGTTATTGACAAAAAGTTGATGAAACAAGGAAACAATCTCGTTTAAAGTCAATATTTCGCAAGTTCTATGGTCGATACAGTGACCTTGTCAGCAAATACAATCTATCATTAAGTCGAATGCTGACTAACGTTTTACATACTAATTGTTAGGCCATTGTTTATACTTTGAATTTTCTACGGAGTTTTCAGTTTTCCCGATCATGACAATAAGCACACGGCGGGTTTGACCGGTCGATAGGGAGATGCTTACTCTTCCATGGCACCTTCCATGGCACCTTATCCCATTTCTAATGTTTTTAAGAGGTCCGTTTTTGCTCTGCTCTCGATTTGTATTGTTTTAATGGACTTTTGAGCTTGATAACTGTTTTCGTTCTCTTCATTTTTCATTTTATATCTCTGTTAAACTCATAAAGATCACACGGCGAAAATTATTGTGTTTTGAACATGAACTTGGTCGCCGCTATTCTTTGATATATATTATTTAACTTGATTAGTTATCTAAACTAGGACTTTAAGAATAATTCAATACATAGAATAAAAATAGAGTAGAGGCAAACCGGGTGTTTCATCAAGCACAACAACCTTCCAAAGATGGCAAAACTTCCAGTCACACCAACGAGAACTGACCTTCCTTTTCTGCTAAGCATGGTTATCCTTACGGACAACATGGCTGCTCATTTGCATAATGATCTCCCAAGATGGATTGCCCATCTGGCAAAGATGGTGGGGTTTTTTTCGGTTACGTCATTCGCGTCGACATGGCATTTGTTCTTTAAGTGGTCATTCTTATCAGGATCTCTGCTCTCCTATAGTTAGTGACTAGAAATTATCTTACCAACCAGTTTATATCCCCTTTATTTATATTAACGACCTTTTATATATATATAAAAGTCAGCAAATTGGGAAAAATTAAATCCAATCTTAATCAGTAAAACATAAGTAAAATATAGAGTTATGGATGTAACGAACAGTAATCAAACTAAAAAAGTCAAGTGAAACAATACTAATCGGGAGCAGAGCAAACATGGACCTCTAGAAAAATCAGAGTTGGGATCAGGTGTCATAGAGGAGTAAGCATCTCCCTGTCGACCGGTCACACCCGCCGTGTTCACCTAGTCATGAGAAAAAACCGTTTATTTTTATGCCTATGTTTTATCTTACAATCTAGAGATGGCACATGTGCTTAATATTTTCTGTATTTGTGTTTTATGACCTAAAAGAAGATCTCTTCATACTTGTTTTTGGCCAAAGGCTTAGCAGTGTTCAGTGATATTGAAATTAATTTATTAAAAGATGTATAACATGAAATGAGCTAAATGAAACCAATATGATGGAGACAATACAAATGACGTATAAAAGAAAACTGAAGAAGAATACTGAAGATATATCTTTGGATGCATTCGTGTGTTACTATAGTTAAGTACGTACATAAGCCAGGGACCTATACACAGGCTACTTTTAATTATTTTTACGCTATGTACCAACTTCTTTGAAAATGTTGTGATAAATCAATGATGCCAAAAACAGGTAGATTGATACATGGTTTTCTCGGGTACATGTAATCATTGTTTCCTAATTGTTGAACAATTATTACTTTTAAATTTTATTTAATTTGTTAGTGTGTTCTGTATAAAACCAAAATAACCCGTATTTTTCGCGAATAGGGATGCTTTTCTACGGATTATAGCACATTGAGTATCATAAAGACTCCTTGTGTTTAGAGTTTTATTATACCTTTACAGTTGTTTACAAACATTTTTTTTTTTTGGATAAAATAAGCATAACTTGGAATACGTTCATTTCCATTTTTTTTCTAAATTGAACGTTTAGTAGGAACAATAAATTCATTATTCAAAATCCAAACATTAAAAGGACAGGTTCGCCTTTTTATCCGTATCAATGCTTTTATCTCGGAACCATGCACTGTTTAGGACGTGCATGGAGAAACACTTGTTTTAAATCCACGGAAGGTGTAGAACAACGCATTTTGCATAAAAAAGGTAAGTATATTTTGTTAAAAGAAAAACTGGAAGTTTCAATCTTTTTAAGGGACAGATTCTAATCTAATAAATTCAGTCAGAATTGTTTTCTTCAGACTGAATTTTTAACATGGATAAGCGACATGACGGGAGTAAAGAAATGTTCAAATTGTTGTTACTTTTATTTGCCTTCAATCAGGGTTAGTTTGCTTTGTTAAAATTTTGCTCACTTAAATTTTATTTCATTTCAATACTGAACAGTTCATCTTCGTCAATCTTGTTTATGTCATGCTATAACCAGTATTTGTATGAATCAACAAAGATGTTAAAGTCAGTAACATTTAAAAGATCAATTCTGATCATTACATTTTTTTGAAAAAAAATATTTTTGTCTATTTAGATAATTTTTTATAGGTATAAAATCGTTTTCTTTCTTCTTTAGATTAACGTTTCACTTCTTTAATTATGATCAAAATAAAAGATTTTATCGCCAACTGTAATAATGACAGATACTGTGAAACACCCTCTATGTAGGTAATATGTGGATCGAATTATTAAATGATTATGGAAAAAATAAATGTTAAAAAAATCTCATATATCTTTTCTTTTCTTACAAGAATTTGACTTGTAAGAGAAAAGATATATAAGGTCTTTTTTAACATTTTTTTTTAATTCTAATTTATACATTTAGAGAAATTAGAATTATAGTTTTTTTGTTCGTTTGAACTTCACGATTTCTATACTTAAAACAAAGAAAAGGTCAATATTTTCAACAATTACAATTTTCAGAAAAAATACTAGTACATAATATTTATCTTTTATTACAGTCTTTGCCCCTGAATATTGTCATGATAACGTCAATGACGGTCAACCCGTCTTCTCCAGTCCCCCCATTGCCGGTATAACGGTGTCCATCAGGGAAGACGCTATCCCGGGATTTGTAGTGTACACAGTGAGCGCCACGGACACGGAGTATTACGAACTTGATACAAAAATACCTGAGTTTGGAATCAATGGAGACAAGTTAGTCGTTACAGGATATCTGGATTATGAAGCAACAAGAACGTACACGTTAGTTTTTAGGTAAGTATCCCTATAAATGTTAACTACACATGGTAACTACAGAAATACAGGAAATACAGGGGATAGGTTCTGGGTTACTTTGATAATTTGTTGTCAACTATACGTTGAAACCATAGGCCATTATGAGTATGTTGGGGATATAGGTAAGTTAGAATAAGCTACATTGTTTGTAAAAACAACACATAGAAACTACAAACAAATAGCTAGGGGTAGTTTCTTGTAAAGTTCGAGAACTTGAAGTACTGGTGGTAATCACAGAACAATATGAACCAACCGGGGGATACTTTCCAAGTACATTAATTTGTGGTGACCTACACTTGGTAACCACAAAATACCAATCCGATAACGTGTTTTTCTCACCAAGTATAAAGGTACCTTAAACAAACTTTCCTTTAAAAGTCTTTTGTTCGCAATACTTTCACTTTCCTAAAGAGGATTTCTATTTCATATCAGATACACCAAAATTAAATTTAAGATTATGAAATGTAAAATATTACGATACAAATCATGATACAGTCTAACTGTATCATGAAATATATGGAGATAACGAACAGTATTCAAGCTCAAAAGTCCATTAAATAATACAAAATAGCAGCAGAGCAAACACGGACCTCAGAATTTAGAGGTGGGATCAGGTGTCATGGAGAAGTGAGCATCCCCTGCCGACCGGTCATACTCGCCGTGATCCGCTTTATCCGTATCGTTAAACCCCTACTTATTTGACAATACAAAAAAAAGATAAAATAAATTGATGTATACTAATTTCACAAATGATACATACTAATCCCAAGAATATAATGCTTAATCTTTATATTGACATTTTAGTGCCTACGAATGTATATACGCTCTTCCAGTGAAGAGTAATATTACCATCAACATTGAGCCTGTTAATGAATTCTTTCCAAGATTCACCAGGGAGGTTATATATAAAGATATCAATGAAAACGAGGTGCAAGGTAAGATTACATTGATTAACAATGAAATATACATTTTATCTCTTCCTGGTGGTATCTTGTGTTGTTTTGGTTAATTATCACGACGTCCTTAAAAGGCTTTTAAAAATGTTCTTTTTACTCTTAAAAGGATTGCATGTCCATAATTTTTACAAGTCGAAATCATGTTTTCATCAAACTAATTTTTTTCAAAGTTATATGATATTTCTAATTTGAATAAGAGTTTATGTGAAACATGAACTTCTAGAAGCTATTTGAAGTGGTACTTATGGTAGTGATAATTCTTGAATAACATCAATGTTAGTGGTCCTAGAAGAAGAATATATATTGTTTATGATTGTTCTAATTAAGTATTTAAATTAATTTTCCGTAGATCATAACGTGACAGTTCTCACAGATCTAATCTGTACTGATTGGGACCAAGGTCCAAATCCGGGTTGTTCCCTGGCCATTCAAGATGGCGATGATCCCACTCAGAAGTTTAAAATATCCGGAACCAGAATTCAGACAACCAACGCTGCAGTTGACTATGAGTTGTTATCGGGACAGGATTTTCTATATTCACTCACTGTGATTGGTGTGGATAATCCAAAAACAGATCCGAGAAAGACTGGAACTGCCAATGTATTTGTAAATATCAACCCCATTAATGATAACAGTCCAGCATTCCTAGATAGAAGTTATTCCACACAGGTAAACTATTCTAGAAAAGGAGTCAAAATTTTATTGTTATTCTAGTATTTTAGATTAGAGCCTGAATATACATTATGTCACATGTCAGGAAATTAAGCCATATTTGGCAAATTTATTTTCATGGATGATCAGGATTTACGTTTAAGAAAATTTGTCATAAATCAGCGTTCTAGATATCTGTTTCTTATACACACGAGACGTTTTACATACTAAGTACATTAACTTCATCTCTCTTCTGAAAGAATGAGAAGGGAGAAAGCTTGATGACAATACCTGTAGTACTGTATTTTAGATAAATCTAAACAAATAACACGTGCATCAATTATGTCATAATCAGACAGGTTAAGGCTTGTATGAAATCTCAGAAGAATTTAACAGAATGGTAATAAAGGATACTATTAAGAAAAATATTTTGACATTGTAATAAATCGACAACGTTTTATCATTCAACAGTATTCATTTTCGTTCATATGTCAATTCAATATACCCCCGGTATTTCAGACTTCCGAAGAAGACTACAAGGTGTCTGCAAAATTTTCTGACATTTTTTGACATTATGATAATCCATCGTTTGGTTGAATTTCACTGACAAGTTTCATTTCATTAACTGTTTTACCATTTTTCCATACGATTTGGATTACAGATATCTCAGTTTAATTGATCAAAACAGAGATCTCACAGCGAGTAGATTCCCTATCACTGGTCTACAGGGAATGCTTACTCCTCCAATGTACCCGATTTGTTTTGATCAATTAAACTGCTGAATGAGAAGACATAAAGGTCTATAGCATTTTTTTTTTATAGTTGTGACAAACTGAAAAATGAGCAGCACAACAGGTAGATCACAAAAGAATATCTGTATAAAATACCACTGCATAACAATTCTTATCTGCAGACTTAAGAAGCTTTCTTGATGTAATAGACCAATAAAATAATCATATTTGTTTATTTGTAACATATTACAATTACAATTTATAACATATTACACATATTTGTCCGTGTTTGCTCTGCTCCTATCTTGTATTGTTTAACGGACTTTTGAGCTTGAATACTGTTCGTTTTCTCCATTTATTTCATTATATTTGTATAATATTTCTGAATACTAACAATTAAATTGTATGACAACCAATATGACTATAGCTCTTCCATTGTCAACTTCCCTCATTTGTGTAGAAGTATAACTTGCATGTTTAGCAACTTATTCAATACTCCTTGGATCGTTTTTTGACTGACATATTTCATACCAATTGTTAGACTTCATGGAGGATGTGACCGGTCGACAGGCGATGCTTACTTCACTCAGGCACCTGATACCACTCTGAAATTCCCGGAGGTCCGTGTTTTATGCCCTGTTCACAGACTTGTATTGTTTGTAAATTTTCGGGGGTCCCTTTTTTATGCCCTGTCCACAGACGTGTATTGTTTGTAAATTCCCGGGGGACCGTGTTTAATGCCCTGTCCACAGACTTGTTTGTAAATTCCCGGGGGTCCGTGTTTTGTGCCCTGTTCACAGACTTGTATTGTTTGTAAATTTTTAGGGGGTCCGTGTTTTATGCCCTGTCCACATACTTGTTTGTTTGTAGGCTTTTTTGAGAACCGTTACTGATCGTTATCTTCACCTTTTTAATTCAAAAAACTCGTACGTAACTAAAACGCAAGAGAGAAACGTATTAAAACTTTAAAGTGAGCTGAATTAAAAACTAGTGAATGAAATTTCGAAAAAGAAGAACACTAATCAAGATCAAAAGGCCATTGAAATAATGCCAATCTTGAGAAGAGCTCTAAAAAAAACATCAGAGGTCTGACAATGAATATAATTAAAGTTTGAGTAAATTTTGTAAATTCATACACACTGTTGTTGTCATATACTCTTAGTCATCAATGAAAAAAATTCCAATTTTAAAAGTGATTTAAGACAAATATCGAAAATGTTAAAAGGGTTTTTTATATTCAATAGATAATGGAGAATGCTATACCTGGGACCGGGGTGTTAAATACCTCTGCAGACGACAAAGATCTAGGACTCCATGGGGACCTGACATTCAGTATTACAGGTATCATAAGTATAGCAAATTATATTCACATAAAAAACGAGAAACATTTTTCAATACATCAATAACGAATTGAATAAGAATATATATTAAGAAATAACATTTTTTTTCTCTGATTCGATGTATACAATGGATTTTAGAAAAGTTTGCTGATCTCTGTCATATCTTCCTCACTAAGTATTTAATTATATGTAAATTTGGTAGACAGGTTTAAACAATACATTCGAACGGTTTGAATTTAAAATTTTAAATGTATCATGAAAATTTAAAACTTATTCAACATTAAAACTACAAAAATAGGAGACGAAAATCGAGAAATCAGCCTTTTGAAGTCATTAACGGCTTTGATGTGAAAATCATTTAGTCCAACATGAAAGGATCATTAAAACTATCATCAAATCGACTAATCTCCAGAAATTCATTGCTAAAATCAGTGTAAACTTTCAAATGTAAGAGCCTGTCTAACCTATACCTGTGTATGATTTGTTAACTACAGAGCGTAGAGCATGCAGAGCCAAAAACTCATTGTAAATCTTTTTAAAAAAATTAATTTCATTTTAAAACAAAAATATTTTTGTTCTACGTACGTAAATATACCCTTACTTACAGATTGACTATAACATATCAAACAATGTTAAAGGAACTAATTTGCAATATTGTTTTAGGTCAAAGCGATGGGTCACATGTGTAATACATTATTTTAACTGGTCGCTTCAAAAGTAAATATATGAAATAAACAACAGTGTTGAAAAGTTCACTGTGAAATGAACGTGGTTGGTACGTGATCAAATCTACTGAGAAATCCTGACAAACAAGTTGAAATAAATATATCAACTGTCGCATTTAAAGTCAACATTTCGCAAGTTCGACCAAATGACTTTGTCAGCAAATACAATCTATCATTAAGTGGAATGCTAACTGACGTTTTTCATACTAATTATTAGGCCATTATTTACACACTGAATTGTCTACGGTGCCCGATCATGAGAAGGAGCACATGCACACTACTGGACGAAAAAAGTGCTGAGAATCCCAAATTTTACTGATAATGTTTGATAATTACTGATACTAGCTGTGCTGTTCTTGCTGATAAATACTGATATTTACTGTTATTCTTACTGTTGTTACTGATAATTTTAGTTGTTTCTGATAAATGCTGATAATTACTGTCGTCTTTACTGTTGAGTCTGATAAATACTGATAAATACTGTTGATGTGCTGTCGATGCTGAGATTTACTAATAATTACTGTGGTCATTGTTCTTGAGCTAAGAAGGTGCTAAAATAGAGTTAAGGGTTGTTTAACATAAGTCACTGTAATACTAAAACATTAAGGCTTTTTGAAAAAAAAAAAAAAAAAAAAAAGAACATTGATAGCCCGACTCAAGAAATTTGGGTAAGGAGGTTTGTGAATTTTTTCATTAAAACACACTGAAGTGGAAATAACTATTAATGGATGGGAAAAAATCGGGATTAAACAAAAAAAAATCCAGCAGAATATAAAAATTTTGATTCGGACCTTTTTTCACTCTGTCAAGAGAGGACAAACAATCATTTTCATTTTAAATATGGCCCTACGTAAGAGCAATTTTTTTTTATTCTTTCCCAAAGATTATGCATATTTTTTAATTTTTTTTTTAATGTTCGGTCTTTCTGATTTTTTCCCCCTGAAAATCTGCCCGAAACTGATAAATTTTATGCTTTTTAGCTCACCTGAGCTGAAAGCTCAAGTGAGCTTTTCTGATCACATTTTGTCTGTAGTCCGTCTGTCCGTCTGTCTGTCTGTCCGTCTGTCTGTAAACTTTTCACATTTTCGACTTCTTCTCCAGAACCACTGGGCCAATTTCAACCAAACTTGCAACAAAGCATCCTTGGGTGAAGGGGATCCAAATTTGTTCAAATGAAGGGCCACGCCCTCTTTCAAGGGGAGATAATAAAGAATTATTGAAAAATTAATAGCATCTTTTAAAAATCTTCTTCTCAAGAACCACAGGGCCAGGAAAGATGAAACTCATGTGGAAGCATCCTCAGGTAGTGTAGATTCAAGTTTGTTCAAATCATGACCCCCGGGGGTAGGGCGGGCCACAATGGAGGATTAAAGTTTTACATAGGAATATATAGGGAAAATCTTTAAAAATCTTCTTCTCAAGAACAGCAAAGACATGATGAGTCATATATATATATGTCAGCATCCTCAGGTAGTGTAGATTCAAGTTTGTTCAAATCATGACCCCCGGGGGTAGGACAGGGCCACAATGGAGGATCAAAGTTTTACATAGAAATATATAGGAAAAACCTTTAAAAATCTTCTTCTCAAGAACAGCAAAGCCATGATGAGTCATATTTAACTGGAAGCATCCTCAGGTAGTATAGAATCAAGTTTGTTCAAATCATGACCCCCGGGGGTAGGGCGGGGCCACAATGGAGGATCAGAGTTTTACATAGAAATATAAGGAAAAACCTTTAAAAATCTTCTTCTCAAGAACAGCAAAGCCATGATGAGTCATATTTAACTGGAAGCATCCTCAGGTAGTGTAGATTCAAGTTTGTGCAAATCATGACCCCCGGGGGTCGGGTGGGGCCACAATGGAGGATCAAAGTTTTACATAAAAATATATAGGAAAAATCTTTAAAAAATCTTCTTCTCAAGAACAGCAAAGCCATGATGAGTCATTTATATGGAAGCATCCTCAGATAGTGTAGATTCAAGTTTGTTCAAATGATGACCCCTGGGGGCTAGGGTGGGCCCCAATGGGGGATCAAAAGTTTTACATAAGAATATATAGAAAAAATATATCTTCTCAAGAACAGAAAAGCTATGTTTAGTCATATTGATATGGAATTATCCTCAGGTAGTGTAGATTCAAGTTTGTTCAAATGATGACCCCTTGGATAGGGAGGAGCCACAATGGGGGATCAAAATTTTTACAAAGGAATATATGGGAATTTTTTTTTAAATCTTTTCAAGTACACAAAGCCATTTGTTATATTGACATGGAAGCATCATCAGGTAGTTTAAAATCCAAGCCCCCCCCCCCCCGTAATATTTTCAATACTGAACTGATTTGTGCTTTTGCCTAGCCAATGTGCTCAGGTGAGCGATGTGGCCCATGGGCCTCTTGTTTAAGATAAATTGAGAGATGAAAACAGGGGTGAATATGTTCCGTCTGGAGGCACCTTTTTTTTAATTATTTTTTTCTTTTTTAAGAATACGTAATGCAAGCATTCGTAGATCGTCCCAGAATATAACTCTGCTACATGTTTATACATGTGCAACCGGTAGACGGGGACTGATAAAAAATTATTTGTCAGAATTATAGCGTAAGTGCAATAGTATACAAGTGTACATGTAATTTTGATGTTGGTCTCTTACAAATTCACAAGTCACCAAATAATACATTTTTATTCAATAAGTTTTAAAAATCTCATTCATTTAATTTTATGGAATGGAAAATAAGAAATGGGACCTACAGTATCAGTAATTATCAAACATTATCAGTAAAATTTGGGATTCTCAGCACTTTTTTCGTCCCGTAGTGATGACGGGTGTAACCGGTCAACAGGGGTTGCTTACTCCTCTGCGGTACCTGATCCCACCTCTAATGTTTTAATAGGTCCGTGTTTGCTCTTCTTCCGATTATATTGTTTTAATGGACTTTTGAGCTTGAGTACTGTTCGTTATCTCCATATTTTAGAGCAAAGATTGAAAGTGTGTGCGAACTTTTTGAACAGCTCTCGTGTTAATTCACTTATTTAACTGTGCATTGAAATGGTTTATTTGTAGCGGGAAATGAGGATAACAGATTTTATATAGACCCAAAATCAGGTCAAATATCAACGCTTGCCCCCCTCGATTTCGAAACTAAATCAACCTACCAACTCACTATCAGAGTTAGTGATGGAGGGGGAATCTATGATCAAGTTTTCGCCAATATTGGCGTCATTAACGTTAATGACGTCACTCCTGTGTGTTCAGCCTATCAGAACGTCGTCGAAGTAGATGAGACCATACCCCCTGGGAGTATTGTAAGTAATATGTACCTTAAATAGAGAGTTTAAATTATAGTGCTCACAATTTTTTTTTTGATAAACAAGAGACACGTCGTCTTCCATTATAATAATTAGATCTTAATACGGGTTAAAATTTGATTTTTCATGTTGAGGTGTCAATACTAATATTAATCGCTCTCTCTCTCTCTCTCTCTCTCTCTCTCTCTCTCTCTCTCTCTCTCTCTCTCTCTCATATGATACCAAGCTTCTGCTACTCAAAACCCTATACGCTTAAATTTCAATGGATCCTTACAGCTTATGACATTAACTTGTACTGATCTGGACGGAGTCGCAGCCTTGACATATAACCTGCAAGACGACGTAGATGGAACATTTTCTATCAATCCTTCAGGAGAAATTACCTTAACAAAAGGTAAAGCAAAGTCACTGCTTTGACTTATCGATCTATAAAGTAAATATTCATTTAGATTGGACAGGAAGAAACCATTTTTTGGGGGAGGGGGTGTATAATTATAGTAACTAAATGGTATTTGTTTAAAAGACTTCTTCCAAAACTGTTCTTATTCCATGATCGTTCTTTATATTTTCTACGCAGACAAAAAGTCCATTTGGACTCAGAATTTTAGGGTGCAGATAGGGGTCGACACAAGTTCTTCAACACCCAAATAATTTTTGAAATAAATAATTATACATAGAGGTTTAGTGATGAAATTAGCATCAATTTCTACCACTACTATACTAAAACAGAGACGAATTCGTTACAATTTCAATTTTTGCAGCATTGGACTATGACCTTGGTATAAGATCATATCGTCTGACAGTTATTGTATCTGACGGTGTTCACAATCTACTCGTCAAGCGACATGTCATTGTGAAACCTGTCAATGAATACCCACCAGAACTTCCACCTAGCGCCACGATCCAAACATCTGAAAATGATGCTACCGGAAGTGTGTTATATACAGCCACAGCAAAGGATGCAGATGTCTCTCGAGATAATCTGAACACGTTCTCATTCTTTATTGCAAGTGGTAATTAAGAGCATTTTCCTTTAGAAGAAACATAACGTATATTATTCTGAATTCCAAAAATGTGTATGAATATAGTTTTTAAGTTCCCCCATTTTTTCATCTTATTTTCCCGAAATTTCTATTTCAGTCAGCAATAACGGTGGGGACACATTTTGGATTGACACAAATAATGGCGACATTGTGTTAGTGAAGAACCTAGACTTCGAAAATGAACAGAATTACGTCATTACCTATGCTGTTGAAGACGATGGGAATTTTAGAGTAAGGAGATTCTCACTCTACATTTTTAAAGTTACAAATTAAAAATTTGCTACAGCTTTGAATTTTGAATGCAATTTTTAAAAGCTTTTCAACCTTAAAATGAATTCATATATTTTTTTTAAATGTAGTCTAAAAATGATTGACAAATCTTGTTTCTTTTCACATAAATTAAATGTCATAGTTAATATGTGGATCGTTTTAACTTTTTGCTTAGAGTTTATGGAGATGACAAGCTAATATATTTTTTCTTTGCTCAGACTACAAGCACATTGACAGTATCAGTCCTGAATGTTAACGACAACATACCTAGGTGTACCCCTGATGCCATCAGTGTACAAATTCCTGAAAATACAGGTTATATCTCATATCTCATATAATCTTTAATTTTGACTGTTTTGACAATTAAAATTAGATTTTAAGATATTCATGAATTCTTAAGCATAAAAAATGTGAAATTGAATAAATTTAAGTTGCGAAAAGATGTATTTGTGGAATTTGAGCACCTTGTAGTGTGCTCAAGTCATAATATGATTAAAATGACCTGGAATGATTTATTTTTTCGAAAGACACATCCGTCCCTTCTTTGTACAAATTAATTTGTACTGACGATGACGGGGATTCTCTTCAATATGACGTCATTTATCAGAGACCAAATGACGCTGCATTTGACGTCAATTCCTCAGGAAAGCTTTTGCTTGAAAGTGAGTATAAAAAAATATAAATAGTAGAAGGAATTTATTCAAAAAAAAATTTGGTAAATCTGCATTCCTTTAAATTATGAAGCATTAATGTTTTGTCATTTTAATCTGATTCATTTTTTAAGACAAAGTGACAATTTTTTTTTTTTTTTTTTTTTTAGATATTTCGTTATTATTTAAGCTTGAATATCTCTTTTTGAATTTCTCTTTTAAACTTTAGAACCATTAGATTATGAGACGAGAACATTTTATGAGATTAAAATTGGTGTAACTGATGGCCTGTCTACAGCCACAGTTAATATGGCGGTGAATGTCCTGGATGTCAACGAAGGAGCCCCAGAGTTCACCAGCTCTGGTATGTTGTTATAATTGTTATTTATTCATATGTTTTAATTTTTCATCAAACTCTTTTCATAAGATTTTTATTATTGATATGTTATAAGCAACCGTTCCATACTAACCTGTAAAACTGTTGATAGTTTTTTTTTTTGTTTTTTTTTTTGTTTTGTTTTTTTTTTTTTTTTGTTTTTTTTGTTTTTGTTTTGTTTTTGTTTTGTTTTGTTTTGTTTTTTTTTTGTTTTTTTGTTTTGTTTTGTTTTTTTTTTTTTTTTTGCTTTCTTATCATATTTGAATTACCTTGTGTGCTGCATGTCTTTTCAATTTATCAAATTTAGAGCATGTTTCATTGAAAAACATAGAGTCAATACTTTAAACTGGATTCCAATTAACGCTTTGTTAAAAACTTTGTATTCCTTTCTATGGGTGGATATATATGCAAACTGTACCCTTAGTCGTGTGTGTTTGTTTTGTTCAGATATATATAAAACAGTACCCTGCCTTACCTGTATGTGTTTGTTTTGTGTAGGGATATATAACGATACCTTATATAAATCTGAGTGTGTCTTTTTTGGATAGGTATTTATAACGATATCTGTGTTTGTATTCTGTAGGTATATATAACTGTACCCTATTTGAGTCCTGTGTTTGTGATCTGTAGGTATATATAACTGTACCCTATCTGAGCCCTCTGTTTTTATTCTGTAGGTATATATTACGGTACCCTTTCTGAGTCCTCCGTTTTTATTCTGTAGGTATATATAACGGTATCCTATCTGAGTCTTCTCTGTTTGTATTCTGTAGATATAAACAGCTCTACCCTACCTTAGTTCTGTGTTTGTATTCTGTAGGTATACATAACGGTACTTAACTCTGTGTCTTTGTGTTCTGTAGGTATATATAACGGCACCTTACCTGAGACATCTCGGAAAGGTGTATTCATCGCCCAGGTGTCGGCTACAGACGTGGATATCAGTATTGTTACCTTCACATTCAAAGACAATAATCATGAGTTTATATTAGATCCCTACAGTGGAGAGATTTTTCTGAATGGTCAGCTAGACAGGGAGATTACGCCAATGTACACGTTATTAGTCCTGGCTTCAGATGGAATGCTTACATCCACTGCTACGGTATATGTCAACGTAGAAGACGTCAACGAACCGCCCAAATTTGTTAGAACTGCTTACAGGTAGCAATAAAGACATTTTTCAAAACTTCTGGCGGTTATTTTTCTGCCGTGTGGTTTGTACAAGGCCGTATAATTTACGGAAACTTTTTTCGGAAGAATTTAATCCAGTTTTTGTAGGACACTTACCAACTCCACAACATGCACTCCTCTTTATAAAAAGAAAAAGATAATAAGCCCGCATATTTTTTCCTTCTATATTTTTTTTTTAGAGAAAAGCAACAGTTATGACGTTCATTTTAACAAGAGCTTTTTTCAAAATATGTCTAAGAAAACTGCCTGCAGTTAACTCTAATTAGTTTGAAATTGATAAACAATCATCTCTTTCAATAAATCAATTCAATCTATTTTAACATAGGTTTACAAACGATGAGAGATCTCCAAAAGCCACCATTGTTGGACAGGTGTCTGCAAGAGACATTGATAAAGAGGGTAAATATGGCCAGATAACATACGCCATAGAATCTGGAAATATCCATTCCCACTTCACCATTGACTCAAACGATGGAACGATATCTGTAGCAGAGCCGACAGACTATGAGGAGACTTCTTTAATTGAGCTTGTGGTGTCCGTGACAGACATGGGTGAACCTCCTTTATTTGACAAGTGTACAGTGACAATTACTATTGTGGATGTGAACGACAACCCACCGACCTTTCAGGTGTCGTCCCTGTCTATCCCTGTGTCAGAATCAGCCGCTAAAGGGACATTGTTAACACAGGTGTCAGCAACAGATTCAGACTCTCCACTTAACAACAACAACAGGTTCTCTTTCAGTGAATTGTCTGTCACGCCTTTCAGTGTTCATTCATCTACCGGGATTGTAACTGTAGAGGGACCTCTTGATCGTGAGACAGAAGACAGGTAATATGTTGGAATACTATAATTTTGATAATTATACAGGAACTTGTACATGTTTTATTCCTGAAGATTTCAGGTTTTCAATTGGCGACCTCCTCCAATTATACAGCTATGTTCCAAAATGGCAGGTGTAATGGTATTTAAGTCTCCCAACTGATTTTTAAGCATGAGCATGTTTTGAGATTGAATAACATTTTTAACGAGACAGGCAAATGACATATATAAGTTGTTGCCACAGGACTTTCAAGATTGTTGTTTGCGGTTAGCATTTTGCAAATTCAGTTCGTGATATAGTGACCTTGTTTGCAAATATAACATATGATTGAATCGCATTTGACTGACTTATTTCATCCAAGTGTTCTTATACTAATATTGGCTACGGATAGCTCCTTTTACCTGAAAATACAGAGAATTCATGGAAGGTGTGACCAGTCGAAAGGAGATAATTGTTCCTATTAGACTTCATTCGTATATGTACAGGATTTATGAGCTCGATCACTGTTCGTTATTTCTTACTTTTTTATTACAATTGATGAAAGAAATTACTTGCAAAACACTGAACGTACTATTGGTGTAATAAACATTAAGCGCATCTCTAGGCTGTTGCAATCAGGTATATTTGAATGCATATTTTAGCAGTAATTCTTAATAAGCACATGTTGAACAGCCTTGGGTGTTGAGATTACATTTTTGATCAATTATGTTTAAGTACAGCGTGAAAGACTATTATCATCGATTATTTAAGGCAACATTTTCTTCAAGACTTGTTTATCGATAGATGCAAATGCAAGGTAAATATCATCAACTGAATGATGCAGAAATGTATACATTCTAAAGATATTACAAAGGGAGGGATAGATTTTATCAAAAATTAATTTTATATTTACCATTTTGATTTATAGATATCACATGGAAATCCTTGCAACCGATGCTGGATATCCAGCACAAACAGGAACCTTAACTGTGAATGTACACATTGAAGATATCAACGACAATACCCCCAATATAGTGGGCAATTATAACACAACAATATCTGAAGATACACCTGTACAACACGTCGTGTACAAGATATCTGCGGAGGATGATGACTTAGAAGAGAACAGTAGGCTCCATTATTCCATTGAATCCGGGAATTATAATTCTAACTTTAAAATAGAACCATACAGCGGCTATGTACAGGTGGCATCTACACTGGACCGTGAAACAAGGTCTCTCTATCATTTGGTTATAAAAGTATCAGACCATGGACTACCACCAAGATATTCCACGTCAACTGCCACTATCGCCATTTCAGATATCAATGACAATTCACCAACCTTTATACAGGCTTCAAGAGAATACTTTGTAGATGAGAACGTTCCTCTCTATACAAGTGTTGGACGATTGGAAGCAGTGGACGATGACGAGGGGATAAATGCACAGTTGACATTTAAAATCAGCGCTTTCTTACAAGGAACACCCGGAAGTTTCCTTATCAATGAAACATCTGGGGAACTTTTCACAAACATGGTCCTGGATCGTGAAGCAGAATCTTTCTACCAGTTAATGATTTCAGTATTAGACGGCGGAAGTCCTGCTCTGTCATCTGAAATTACAATAAACATATACGTTAATGACTTAAATGATAATTACCCGAATTTCCGTAATACCTTTTATTCTAAAACTATTTCTGAATCAACAGCAGTTGGAACAAAAATTGTGACGACAGCTGCAGTCGACGTTGATCTCGGTTTCTTTTCAGAAATAACATATGAGCTCGATTTGACTTCTCCCGAAGGTCTCCAAGCTGATTTTTATTTTACTGTTCATCCTGTATTTGGTGACGTAATTCTGAAACGTTCACTTGACTTTGAAACTCACGAGGCCCTTTCCATGATAGTAGTAGCAATGGATGGCGATACCCCGCCGAAAACTGCAACTGCGAATGTTACGATATATATAACTGACGTCAATGACAATGCTCCAGAATTTTTTCCGATTTTTTACAACACAGAAGCCCCAGCTGCTGAGACCTGCGATTTTGTTCTTGCCAGATTAAGTGCTACAGATAAAGATAAAACAAACAATGCAGAACTCTTTTATGTTTTGGATCCTGCCTATGAACAGTCACCTTTCACTGTAAACACGGATACAGGTGATTGTGTCAACTTCAGAAATTATATTTAACTGTCTTTGTAAGTTGTTAAAATTAATCATACGTCGATGAAATAATGTCGTTTTCTTCTGAATTATAGGTGAAGTCAGGGCTCGATACGATCTCAACAGCTCTCAGTACATCGTCAGAGTGAATGCCCAAGATAACGGCAAACCACGGCTGACGTCATCAGTGAGTGCTACAGTCCGGATAGACACTTTCCAGCCGGAAGTAAACGTCGTCTCTTTTACGTTATCACTCAATAAGGACCAATATCTGAAACAAGAGACTGATTTCCTGCTGGAGGTTACATTGTCGATAAATTCTATTTACCCCACCCCCTACGTAAGGCGATGGTGCCTCTATGATATGGAAACGTATGTATCAGTAGTGTATACTTGTGGACAGGACCCCCACCCCACACCCACCCGATATACAACCTCGGGGCTTATTGACTTTCTCACATCAATTACACTTATTCATCACATATATCATAGGAGTAATCGGCAAAAAAACTTCGTTTATTTGTTTTATACTACAGGTCGTATCCTGTCCACAAGTACTTGCAATAATACTTATGATCAAATCTGTATAATTTTTTACAGTTGTTAATACCAGTATTTTTTATATCTACATGTACAAGGATTGTGCTATTTAGTAGAACAGAAATGCTTTGTTATTCACAATTCATTATAGAAAAAAAAATTTCAGTGTTTTTTCTCCTCTCTGTTTTTACCTTTTTGCTTTAGCCTCGATTTGAGTTGTAATCTATCATGTTGTATGTGAACTCTGAATTCTCTCTGAGCTTTTAGTTACGTGGTCGTCCACCTGTACGCTGTTGAGAATGATCTGAGTGACTGGATTTATAATCTCCATCTCCCAAAACCATTCCTGAAAACAAACGAAATCCTAGATTTAGTTAATCCATTTGGTAAGTTAGTTATCATTCTATATCGAAAGTTAAAGCTTTCTGGTAAAGGGTATGTAAAAGACACTTAAAAAACATTTAAGATACTGTAACAAAACTGTAAAACAGGGAAACATTTTATAAAACGCGTTGATGTATTCAATGATATTTGTTTAAGGCTAATACCATCCAATACAATGACAAGGTTTTGTGATTTCGGAACTCCACACAAACCCTTGACATAAGTCGTTATTTAAAAACTGGGATAGAAATATTACTATCTCATTTTTGTTCCTGGTCTAGGACTGGAACCAATCATAAAACAGCTTTTATTGTAGGTAAGTTTTGTAAACAAATATGACTCATCTTTAAAATGGAAAGTGTCAATATTGTAGGATTTGTAACTAGTTACTTTAAATGAAACATCGGGGATTAATTTTCTGAAGATCGTCCTCCTTACAATCACAAAAGATATGCTCTTGAGTTGGGTAATTTGATAAAGACGGATTTGAAAAATATATTCTCATTGGTTAGTTTGTAATTTCCCGTTACGCCATGTGTAACCACAAGCCCACCTTTTAAATAACGACGCATGTCAAGGGTTTGTGTGGAGTTCCAAAATCACAAAACCTTGACATTGTAAGGATCGGCTTATACATTCAGTTAAATTTTGTACTTTTATTTAATTCAGTTAAAGTTATCATTAAAAGATGTTCTTTTTATTTATGATACTGAACTGTGGGGAAAAGATAAAGCTATATGGAGTTTATGGTATTTCTCTGTAATAAAATGTGAATAAAATCGTATTCATACATCAGTTTGTTTATTTGTTTAATGCCCTGCCATATAAATGGGGTAACATTTTTATTTCTTTTTAACAACAAAAATACTCCTGATATAGAAGTATATCACACATTTTTGATTTCTTAGGAACCAATAAAGACAAATGGAGCAGATTTTATGTTAAAGAAATAGACGAGTATTTTGTACCAAACAACAAAATAGAAGATCCGAAAGTGATACCTGTCAGCAAATCCAAAAGTACCAAGGTCAACGCACTAGCGATTGCCCTACCCATTCTATTTTTAGCATTGATTGTGGCGGCTGTTCTATTTTTTGTTGCATGGAGGCGTAAATGGTGTAGAAAAAGGTGCGTTTTTAGCTCTACTGGTCAGAGACCAGAAGAGCTTATGCGATAGTAAGGTGTCCGTCGTCCGTCCGTCTGTCTGTCCGTCTGTCTGTCTGTCTGTCCGTCTGTGTGTAAACAATTTTTCAAAATGCTACTCCTCCTAAAGTTTTGGTCTGATTTCAATATAACTTGGCATAAAAGTAGACTAGAATAAGATACAAAATTTAATGCATCGGTTTTTGATTTCGATGAACGGTGTTGCCATGGTTACTAAAAATAGAATTTTCTGTGACATTCATTTAAAACGCTACTCCTCCTACAGTTTTGGTCTGATTTCATTATAACTTGGCACACGAGTAGACTACACTAAGATACAAAATTTAATGCATCGGTTTTTGATTTCGATGAACGGTGTTGCCATGGTTACTAAAAATAGAAATTTCTGTGACATTCCTTTAAAACGCTACTCATGCTACAGTTTTGGTCTGTTTACAATATAACTTGGCATACAAGTAGACTACACTAAGATACATAATTTAGTGCATCGGTTTTTGATTTCAATGAACAGTGTTTCCATGGTTACTAAAAGTAGAAATTTCTGTGAAATACCTTTTAAACGCTACTCCTCCTAAAGTTTTAATGTGATTTCAAAATAACTTGGGACACAAGTAGACTGCACTATCATACATAATTTATTGCATTGGTTTTTGATTTCGATGAACAGTGTTGCCATGGTAACTAAAAAAAAGAAATTTCTGTGAAATCCCTTTAAAACGTTACTCCTTCTACAGTTTTGGTCTGATTTCAATCTAATTTGGCACACAATTAGAATACACTACGATACATAATATGCATTCCGGTTTTTGATGTGGTTTCTAAAAATAAAAATTTCTGTGAAATACTTTCAAAACGCTACTCCTCCTACAGTTTTCGTTTGATTTCAATATAACTTGGTACAGAAGTAGACTACATTAAGATACATAATTCTATTTATTAATGCATGTTGCAAATCCAAGTGCTACTTTGTTATACGTACAGACCAGTAGAGCTACAGTCTCATCAGAGACTTCTGGTTGTTTCAGTGAGAATGATAGACAGAAAACTTTGCAAACGAGTTATGTTTCATAGGATAATAAAATAATACATCTCTTCACAAATATCCATCGACACATTCTGATTATGATTTGTAAAGTTAAAATTCAATGTATAAGTACTTGTATACTGAAAAGGGCTTAAAATCTGGTTGCAGAGACAAAGAAGAAAAAGGAAAAAAGAATTCCGAAAATACGCCTTCGTCACCGAACACGCCTCGTATTGTTTCTCCGACTGGAATCAAAATTAATCCTGAAAATGGTAAATTGTGTCGTACGTTCATAAAACAAGGGCATTACATGTGTCGTAAAGCTAAAAAGTAGTGGACGTAAATGCATGTGAAATAAATGTAATTATGCGTGTAAATCTTGTAAAGCCTAAATTCGCTTGGTAAACAAACAAGTTCACTTTATAGAAATGGACTAGGGTAAAATGCGTTACCTTAGTCCAAGATGGCGACAGGCAAATACGCTTCGATTATTTTTTAGTCACTTCACGCGTTATCCACACTTACATTACGAATTGGGTTGTTAAATTTTTTTACACAGAAGAACGTAGCTTTTGCGAAAATTTGGCATGATCTGCGCTGATTAAATCCAAATTGCGGGTACAAAATTCAAACATGGTTAGGATAACGTAAATTTACGACTATGGTAAAGATTTTCTGAGCTCTTTGGCTGATTAGGGTAACGTTTGTGTAAAATGTTATTTTGTTAGCTTCAGGGTCTAAAAGATGCCATTTTAGGTCGTGCTTACGCCTCCTAGGTAATTGTTCCCACTTCTGGAAGAACCATGCACGCTAACTCTCGATTCCCGCCTACATTATATACCCATTTAATTCAATGTTAATGACAATTTGTCCATTTAAATTTTTTTGAACGTAAACAAGAGCTCAATAACGCTTGATTTCAGAATAAATGATTAATAATAAATAATACCAATTAGTTAATTGCTCTTAATTACAACTCCTTTTATAGGGGATGGGGGGGGGGGGGGGGGGTAGACGATATTATCCATTGAAATTGGGCTTTATAATGCAATCACATTTTAAAATACACATTGATATGGATAAAATACCCTTATTTTTCTGTATGTTTAACTCATGTAAATTCAAACATATAAGATTGATAGAGTATAATTTTTAATTGAAATTTCCTCTCAAAACGATACGACAATGGACGTTTTCACTCTCTGAATTTTTGGCAAGGGGGGGGGGGGGGGGGGCGGGTGTTTTAAAAATAATGTCTGTCTTACTTTGATTTATATAGTGAAAAACACATGTTATACCAAAATTTTAGAGTTATCTTTGTTTGTTTTCCCAAATAACTTTTCTTTTGAAAATTTATATAAATAAATAAATATGTGAAATTCCAAGGAACTTTTGGAAAATTTGAAATCGCAAGATTTTACCAAAATCAACAGCTTAAAAACTTATGACTTTTCAACTTTATATACAACCATTCCCCACGATAAATTAAAGTCCAGGCTTTTTGATATCATTGACAGCTGCTTTTTCAATTAAAATGGAACTCGTAAATTTACTTACCTTGTCCTTGGTCATTTGCAAAATTGTTTTGTTAAAAACATTCTGATTGTACACACAAGTACTCTGAAGTTGACATTGAAAAGATGCTTGAGTTTCTGATTGACAATATCTATGTGGTTTCTGGAGACCAGGTCTTCCAACAATGTATTGGAATTCCCATGGGTACCAATTGCGCCCCTTTATTAGCAGACCTTTTTTTGTATTCATATGAAGCAGAATTTGTCCAAAATCTTGTACGTGAAAAGAAGAAAAAAATTGCTGTGGCCTTCAACTCGACATTTAGATATATCGACGACTATTGTCAATTAACAATGGCTATTTCCATTCTTATGTCGATACGATATATCCTGGTGAGCTTGCTATAAAAGATACCGCAGAGTCTGACACATCTGTTTCATATTTGGATATTTTACTTGAAAAAGACGTTAACGGTAATCTAACAACCAAGCTTTATGATAAACGTGATGACTTCAACTTTTCAATCGTCAACTTCCCTTACTTATGCAGCAATATGCCTTCATCACCTGCATACGCGGTATATATCTCTCAGTTGCTTCGATACGCAAGAGCGTGCTCTACGTATGTACAATTTCTAAAACGAGGTAAATTATTGACAAACAAGTTGATGAAACAAGACTATCAGCTCTCTCGTTTAAAGTCATCATTTCGTAAGTTCTATGGTCGATACAGTGACCTTGTCAGCAAATACAATTTATCATTGAGTCAAATGCTGACTGATGTTTTTCATACAAATTGTTAGGCCATTATTTACACACTGAATTGTCGACGGATTTTTCAGTTATTTCCCGATCATTACAAGGAGCACACGGCGAGTGTGACCGGTCGGCAGGGGATGCTCACTCCTCCATGGCACCTGATCCCACCTCTGATGTTTGGAGGTCCGTGTTTGCTCTGCTCTATTTTGTATTGTTTGACGGACTTTTGAGCCTGAATACTGTTCGTTATCTTCATATATTTCATCGTTCAAATATGTTAACTTTTAAAAATTGACTGGGAGGTAGACGGAAGGACAAAACTATCGTTCGTAGTTCTTACCAAGGGTCCATGTTTTATGCCCTGTTCACAGATTTGTATTGTTTGTATGTTTTTTATTGTATATCACTTTTCGTCATTTTCAGCTTTTTTCATTCAGCAGACTTGAAATACACTCCAGCCATTTCATAAATCATTGAACCAAACACCATGAAACTGACATATTCTCATTTATAAATGAGACAATTATAATGGAGTACTTTTTTTCAAATCATTTTATTTTTCTGTTTATGTCTTGAACATAATGGAACAAAATGAGTCTGGAAAACAGCGCTCTGTTGACTTAATAAGATGCGGCGAAAAACTTTTCAAACAGCAAATATCATCGATATAGAGAGAGGGAGCTAGATTATAATTTTTTGCTTAGAGATGTGTATATTATACAAAAAAGTACACAAAATGATATTTTTCTAGTACTTTTGTGCTCTATCTTAGTGGGAGAAACGATAGCAAGTTTAACTTCGTTGTAGCTATTGAGAAAACATTGGCTAAGCATTTATCCGAGAGTAAACTTAAAGCAACTCTACCGGGCATTTGATTCATAAAAATTCTGTAGGATATTTCTTTAAAGTTGCATAAAAGTTCCTAAAATACCCAAGGAAGAAACAGTACTCTTAAATCATTCATTAAATAAGGTATACAATCCGAACAAAAAGTGGTTTCTTTTTGATGGGGCCGAGGTATTTACACGAACTTTGGCAGCTATATTACACCACATTTCTCAGAAAGACTCAAAATTATTTTGTAAATATAGATATCGATACAGTAATATCATCATCATTGTACACTGTCTATAATAGATATTTTGTTATACTTTAGATTTTTTTTCCCGATAGATCGAGATACGATGAACACTTGCTTGAAGCTTGCTATGCAATGTAAAAAAAAAACTGAAAAAAGTAACGTTGTCATCAATTCTTCATTTTAAAATATATATCGATGATGTTTTGTTAATTAACAATTTTCATTTTCATTCAAATGTTGATTCGATATTTCCCATTAAACTCGAAATAATAGACGCCAATTGTAAATTTATCATACAAAAAAAAATAATATTATAATTGCATGTATGTTTATGGAACGGAAAATGTACTGTTCACAATGAGAGTAATATTGTGTATGGAAACTGGTTATTAAAAAAATTACAATCGGTATGACCTCTCTGTGGAAGCAACAGTTCTTGACCTTGTTCTAAAAACCTTTTTTCAACTTCTTTGATTGTATAAAGTAGTTTTAAATCAAAATCGTGTACAATCAGGTTGTAGGAGAAATAACTTTACCCTAGTCTCGAAACTTCTTTATCTTAATAGTAAAGAAAACGATCATAAACTTTACAATCCATGTACTTTACAATCAAATTTCAAAATCTAAAGCAAAACTTTGAGGCGCGTTTTCTTGTTAGTTACACAAAAGTGAATATAGTGTCCTTCTGAACATATAAAATGACGCTGCAAAACGACCTGGTGGAAAATGAAGTAAACTTTTACAATAGAAGTCTTCAATATTTGTTTCTGAATTTTGAAGCGTATTTGCCTGTCGCCATCTTGGGTTAGGGTAATGCACTTTACCCTAGTCCGTTTCTACACAGTGAAGTTGTTAAGTTGGCAAATATTTTATCAATTTAATTTACTACGGATGAAAAAATGTATATGGATAAAAGATTTATATACATTTTATTGTAGTTGGTGGCAGAAATGGACATGGTCCCTTCATTAACGTCCCGGTGGATGACAATGCTGCTTTTGTTCACGATGAAGAAAGTCACACGGATGAACAGTCGTCCACACCAGGCTCTTTGTTCGACAAAAGAGGAGTCGATCCAGGTCTGTCTGTTAAACTGTTTACGTGGTCGAATTTCATTATGAATTCATTATGGATTATTAAATTTGATTTTTTAATCATGCAAATTTGATTGTTCTTCTACTTTCCATCATCACACTGATTATTTGCATATGACTGGATAAATTTTTGGATTTCAACATCATATATGAATGTGGCAATCACATTTGGATATGAGTGCTGAATGAAACAACGTCTTTTTTATTTATTTAAAACAATATTTCTATTATCAATTTCCTTTATGTTTAGTTACTCACTGATTTCCTTTATGTTTAGTTACTGGCTGGGTCTATGTTGAGAGCTCTAGAACCAAGGAACGAAGATGGATAAAATTCCCGGATAAAGACCCGCTCTTTAAGAATATCCAATCCTCTTATTTATAAATCTGGATAGAGAATACAACGCACGAGTGTTTTAGTGCCATGCTCTAAACTATTATTTTATCACAGTTTATGTTCAGAAATATCCTAAATGTGTTGTAAATTATAATCAGAAGGGTTGTACTACGAAAGCACTTTTCTGATTTGAAACCTAACATATTGTTTCATATATATGTGGAAAAAGACCCCCTTGGAATTTCCTCAGTAAGATGCCAATTTGATATACATTCTTCCCATTATAATAATTAAAACGACTAACAATCCTGAAATCCTTCTAGCGGAGGAGTCTTTTCACTTTTTTTTAATTGCTTAATTTTGTATTGACATGTATTTTTTTCTCTATAACATCTTGGTAACGTAACATTCTATATGTATGCAAAGAATAAATGTTACACTGATAACTCTATATAATAGAAGAATATTTTTATAATTATATACCCGAAAAAAGTATTCACAAATATATTCTAAATATGGTGATAATATAATCTCGCTTGATAAGTGGATAATTTGCTAACTTATCTTTAAGTACACAATCACCCGGCGCTGTCACCGTTTTGTCTCATAGCGTTTGACAACGTCATTGCTTCTCGTTGTCCGCTTCCTATGCCTTAATACACTTTTCTTGACGGGATACCCTTGTGTTAAATACTAATTGAAACCATTCTCGTTTATATGACCTTAAAATTTCATGAACTGCTGATTTTAAAACACGGTATTGTAAATACTTAAATTAAAAAAACTTCATTTGAATTTGGCAGTTTAATCCGCTCATTGGAGTTCAGTTTCTGCCGTACGCGAGCAGAGAGGATAGATTATGCGATGTTTGTGATACTCATCAAATAGAAGAATTTCACTTTATTCTTCAATGCCCTAGATAGCTAAATTTAAGGGGGAAAATAAAGGAATGTTACTACAAATTGCCAAGTACATTTAAGTTAATCCAATTATTGGGTACAAACCGCATATCTTTATCTTTATCTTTATCAAAAGGCTGTTTTAGGGAAATTTATCATTAATCTCTTATATTATTATAACGATGATCTATCAGGTTGACATAATTTCTATCTATGTAAGGTTAATTTTCAGATATTTGTACATTACAACAGCATTGCTATATTTTGTATGACAATTATATTACTATGAATTATGTATTGTACTGCTTAATACTATATCATATTTATTATGGTATTGTATACTAGTGAGTAGAACAGTGGAACTGAGGAACACTTGACCAGGGGTCTCAACCTCCCCCCATTTTAGACTCATTGAGAGTCTTAATCTCTGTAAAATATGTTGTAATTATATGCTATTATTATAAACAGATGGGCTGATTTGCCCAAAGTTATATTCTGAATAAATTTTATTCCTTATCAACCTGATTGATATTGGATACTCGGACCGCAATTCGGCATTAAAAATATCCCTCCTGTCTTTGAATCTTTTGTGCCTTTTCAAAATATGTAACCTGGACTAATCTTGTCTCTCTTCGGTCTGTTCTAGCATTTCTAAAGTCTGTGTGAGTTTTTTTGTTGTTGTTGTTGCTGCTCTTTTTTGATTTGTTTGTTTTTTTTTTTCTCAAAAGTGGAACTAAGGATTGCTGCAAAAGCCCCCCCCCCCCTTTTTTTTCTGGCGTCATGTTAACCACAAAGTTTTTAGCACAATCTATTGATTTTACAATGAAATTTCATAGAATTGGCTAAATGGGGTAACACATGTAAATCTTTTATGTCAAATCACACTAGTGAATTAAATTGATTATTGGTTGACAAATTCTCGTGTCAGAGGACTTCTTTCTTTAGAATCACTGTAGAAATACATCGTATTTTGAGACCGCGCTGCGTGGTCATACCATTGCTTACAGAAACATTTAAAATGTATTCAAAAGATAAACCGTGTGGGTTAGAGAATATTCTGTAACCAGAAAATATGATGTTGAAGAAATGTGTAAAATTCATTGATGTACCTTACGCGGTTTAATTTTATGAGTCAGTCCACGAACTTTTTGATAAACCCTCGTATATTTGTATTGTAATTTATGATAAATTTAAAAAAATCATAAAAATAAATAAAGGATGAGTATTAAATAACTTTGTTGTATTTATTTATTTATTTAAATGTAACACTCCCAAATCAATAATAGTTATACATCATTCTAAGTAATCTTGGAATTGACAGATATCTCAGCATATGTCAATAGCAATTTTCTCAACGGGTAATTCATAAATTACATTCAATGTAAGAGACGCAAACATACGTCATGTTATTTATGGAAAGCCAACGGGTTCAAAATTTCCAACTCTGTAATTTTTAAATTTACACATGTAAACCTTAATTTGTAAATTGTAAATCATAATTTCATAATTTGTCAATTGTTCTGTCACAGGTTAATTGAAACTATCCAACTAATCTTGACATGTGCAAAATGTAGATGTTAGTTATGTCAATTCGTTGTCTTGCGATTTGTCATTTTGTGAAGTAGAAATTGTACTTTCCTGATCTGTAAATTATGCAAGGTCGCATTATGCTAACGCCCATTAAGACGAAAGATGGCGCTATATGGGTGGCAAGTTATTTTGCTTCAAAGATAAAATAGATCCTCAAGTGAATTAATTTTGTAATATGCCTTCATATTATGCATTCAAAGGGGCTCTTTAGCTGATTACAAATGAGATGGTTAAATACCGAAAAAGAATTGGATAATCCTGGATCCAAAAACTCAAAGTTCCGTTCTTCGTATATACAGAGCTGTGCCGATCGAGGGAATAGAACCCGAACGAAGAGTAGCATTAAGACCAGGCACATAGTATCGGAAGGGGTTCCCCCTTCCCGCTTTTTTCCGGAACATAATATTTTTCTATTAAGTTGGTACACTGAAATGCAGTTTGCCCCCTCCCCACATTCTTGTTGTAGTGTTAGGGAAGGTCAAAGCCCACCTTGATTACAGAACGAAAAGTTTGTATTGTGAAAAAGTTGAAACAACAACCCCCTCCCCTTCCCGATTTCTCAGATAAAAGTGTCAATTATTTTTTAAATTATTTTATCCCTTGGCACCCCTCTGTATATACAAAGAGCAGAACTCCGTGTGTTTAGATCCAGGAATACCCCCTTCTTTTTCCTGTATTCAACCATCTTACTTGTAAACAGCTTAAGAGACCCTTTGAAGGCATAATATGCAGGCATATTACAAAACTCACTTTAGTTGAGGATCTATTTTAGCTTTGAGGCGAAATAACTTGCCACCCTTATAGTGCCCTCTTTCGTCTTAATGGGCGTTAGCATAATGCAACCTTGCATAATTTACAAATCACGAAAGTACAATTTACATTTCACAAGTTCACAAATTGCAAGTCTACGAATTACGCGTGCGCATTGACATAACTTGCATTTACATTTTACACTTGTCAGTTTAAGTTTAAGTTGGATAGTTACAATTAACATTTTGTGATAGATCAAATGACAAATTATGAAATGATAATTTACAATTTACAAATTAAAAGTTTTCATGTGTACATTTTAAGAATTACAGAATTTTGAACCCGTTGGCTTTCCATAGTTATTACCCTCCCATGTAGATCACTAGATGGTTGGTGTTCGTGTTCATACAGGTATGTTTACATTCTAAATGTCATTTTCTGCACTGTCCGTTCTTGTCTGTTTTGTTGTTTGTCTCTTTTTCCTCTGATGTTATTTCCTCTTTAGTACATATTTAGTATGATCATTTGACTTTCTGAACAAAGGAGAACCTACTTTCGTTTTTCGGAGTAGGGAGTATTCCGTACTCTCTCTCTCTCTCTCTCTCTCTCTCTCTCTCTCTCTCTCTCCTGTATATCTTTATCAAGATATAAATGTTTTAATAATGCTTTAATTATATAATGGACATGTATAGGAGAAAAGCTATATGGTGGCGAATTCATATACTTGTGTATATGTGCTGTTATTTTCATCTTTGATTTATTAGATCACTGTTAATTTGGAATATGATTCTTTCGCAACATAAATGCCTAGCGCCTGTAATTCATTGAAATAAACAAATCTTAAACACAATATCAATTTATTAACTTTATCAACTACGTAAAGCTAAAATCAACCCAAATTTTTACAAATCATAAATATATGTAATTATCCTGGTTCAATCAAGTTGTTCGGGGATGCACCCAAGATATATGGAACATAGGTAAACTCTCTTTAACCTTGATTAGACATTAAAAATACATTTTTTTTTTTTTTTGGTAAACAAAAACGTGTTAATCAGGAATATTTTTGCCATTGCAACAAATGTAAGAGTTGTTCCACTTCGTACGAATGCTTAAACCTGAGTGATTTGAATATTGTACTTAATAGTTTTTAACCATTATTATTAACTTATTTACAAAATTATTTACCTTATATATTTTTACTATATGTGTCTTTTTGATAGCGTGTAGAGATAATGCATTTATTAACCCCCGAATTCAGCCTAAATTCCCTCTGGTTATATAGCAATTTAATTATGTCTCTTGTTTAAATTCTGTCCTTTTAAAAAAATATTTAGTTTCATTTGTTGAACGAGGTACATCTACTCGATTTACTTATCCAGAATCGAAATAAGAATCTCTGTTATTGACATGACATTTTTATACAATGCATACTGGAGGAAAACAGGGATGTGGCTGGGCATGTATATTCATACATGTTACGTGTATTTTGTTAAAACTGTGTTTAGAAACAGCAAAGGTCCTTGTGAGCGAACGCTAATAAAATTTCCAGAATTGATAACTTTTTTAATCATTCTTTTCTCAGGATTAACATCTGTATTGTAATGGCCCGATCACAAGCCCAGGACATCATTAGATGCCAATACTGCGAGGACGAGCCCGCTGTCTTCCTCTGTGTTCCTTGTGGAGATGAACTTTGTCCTCGATGTAAGGTCTTCCATCTTAAAAGCAAAGTACCCTCTGGACATAACATCATCCGTCTGTCCGAGAGACTTCATCCAACCAATCAGGTCAAAATATGTGAAGTCCACTCATCTAAAGCGTACGAGGCTTGCTGTGAAGATTGCCAAATCCCTGTCTGTATTATGTGTATCCAGGAAGTGCACGGAAAGCATGCTATCGGGAAATTACAGGATCTATACGAGAAACAAAAGGCTGAAACCGAAGACGAATTGTCTAAAATGAAGACACAATATAAGTCTGAAATTATTGAAAGAATAAAAGATTTCAAAAATGGAGAAAGGGAAATAAAAGCCAGCCATAAAAATATTAGAGAGAAGATGAAGAAACAAGCTCAGGAATTTATAGATCATATCAGCGTCATTTTGAAGGAAGCCTTGGATGAATCCTCTAAAGACGAGATAGAAAAATTAATGGAAATATCTCAATATACAGCAGAAGCTGAGAGATTTGAGCAAAACTTGGATCAACTGATTGAGAAATTTGAATCTCTTACAGAGTCAAGTCATCCCGCCGACCTTATTTTGTACCGAAAACAATATCCTGACACACTGAAGAGATTGCAATTTCCAGAAAAAATAAATTTCACTATGCCTTCGTTTACAATCGGTCAGATCAACAAATCTCAAAATAAGCATCAGTTTGGTAAATTCACCAGTGGTCATATTAGCCATCTTAAATTAGGCGATGATAGCTTACAAGCTAAACATACGTCTGGTTCTGCAAGCGTAAAATCATCTACCAAAAAAGTACCGGGACGTCCAGTAAAAATAAGCGAAACGAAAACTCAAAAGAGAGCGTTATATCACGTGAGTTGTGGTAATGACAGATCAGCGTACATCAGTGGTGAAGGTGCTGGAATACTACTGATAGACAAGTCAGGGACACAGCTGGATAACATCAGTACTGACGGAGAACCATATGGACTGGCTGTGATGCAGGACAGAAGTCTGATTTATTCTGACTACGGAAATTATGTTATCTACAGACAATCATTCAATAAAGAGAAAACAAAACTTTTATATACAGTGTCTGGTCCTAGTGGACTGTGTTGTACCAGGTCAGGTGATATCCTGGTCTGTATGAGTATGGGTTTGTTTAATGCAGCAAAAGTTGTCAAGTACAGCAGCAGTGGGAGTAAGATCCAGGAATTCAAGACAGATCAGAACGGGAGGAGGCTTTTTAGCGATCCAAGGTTTGTCTGTGAAAATGTCAACGATGATATCTGTGTTTCTGAATTGAGTAGAAATAAGAAAGTGGTTGTATTGAACAAGTCTGGAAATCTTCGTTTTACATATGACGGGAATGTCCTAGCTATGACGTTAAAAGACAGATTTTCTCCGTTTGGAGTTGCTACCGACAGTCTGGGTCACATCCTGATTGCAGACAACGACAATAACGCCGTACACCTGATCAGCCGGGATGGAGACTTCCTTTCTTTCATCGTGACAGAGAATGATGGGATATCACGACCAAGGGGGATCTCTGTGGACACGAGTGACAACCTTTGGCTGGTAGAAGAGAAAAACGCCTGTGTCAAGGTGTATCAGTATTTGTCATAACATTGAATCTTCCTTTCCGATACTGTGAACTTGTACAAATGTTTATATATTTATCATACAAAATATCACCAAAACAATCCTAGTAATTCTCTATTAGTAATATATAGACAGGTGATTTAATGAAAGTATAATATATATTATATTAAATTATTATTCTTTAGTTTAAACATATTTTATTGAATAAATCAATAAGGATTGGGAAATAGGCAAACCGTATACATACCCTCTCTTTGTATAATAGGTCAAGACAAAGACAATAAATAATAATACTTGTACATCATAATAAAAAAAAAAAATAATAGTCGAAAATAAAGATTCACAAATTATTAATCTCTGAATTTACACACGAACGTATGTACATGTAACACAAGTGAACTTGCGATGAAAATTTATTTTAATGAAAGTTAAGCAATAAAAGGTGAATATTTCTATTTTGAAAAATAATTCACTTAAGATCACATATAACAAAGGAGAGTTCGATTCACACAACTACACACACACACACACACACACGTTTTTGTTCTAAAATAGTCCAGAGTAAAACTTTGTTTTCCTGATGACGGAATGTCCAGTACATCTAATATTCACGTCCGAGATTGTCCACGGCGGTTCTAACACTGGCCCTCGCACACAACATACGGCATTCACTCAAACTTCAATTAACAATCACACATACGAGTCGGACGCTCTTTGAGGCAAAGGATTGACACTTATTCCTTAAATAAATATTGAGTGACAATTTCCTTTTTACTGTCTAAACATTAAATGTTAGATAGATAATTATATGTCAAAAAGTAAGTAATTAAAATGATTCTTTTTAAAATCAAATTGTGTAACATTGTAAATTAATTTTTTAAAAATTTACTATGTGACACATGTATTAACCAGGAATTTTAAAAGCAACATTGTTTATCAAGAATTCTGGCTTTGTAGGTCTTTCCATCTTGGGAAAAACTTCTAAATGATCCAAGTGTACCTTACTATTTCTCATCTCACTTACTCTAGCCCTTAACAATAACTCGAACATTTACTCGTATATGTTTTTTTTTACTAAAACTCTCTAGCGTAATCCCAACTTGTGCCGAAATCTTCTCGTTGAACTTAGAGACATCATGCATTTTTGAATATCTTTAATATACAATAGTAAAAATATGTTAACAGTGTACATCTATAAAATACTTCCTTAATGTTTTCTTACAAAGCCCCAGCTCACACACAGGCACTTGACCTTACATATTTTTGTAATTAAAAAAATATATAACCCCATACCTTATAATATTTTTATAAGAAAAATATGTAACGTCAATTGCCTGTGAATACATATCATATTGACTAGTATAACAATGTGTTACATCGATCGCACTCCGTACATTTTCTTTGCTTTTAAAGACCGTCTTTTCACTAGACGAAATTAAATTTTTTGGGACATTAAGAAAATTACAGTGTGTAAGGGTGATAATATTGAACTTATTTATTACATTTTCAACAAACGGTGCCTTCATTTACCCTCAAGAAAAATATTCAAAGACAATGAATTACTGATGAACAGGACTCCTGTATACTTAATTGGACTTCATATCTGCAAATGAAGTGTTCAGTCTATTCATTTTGGTCTATTAAAATACATGTATCATAAATGCTTGATTTGATCCCATTTCGTAGATTGGATCAGGTGTGTAGTAGGAGTAAGCATCCCTTGCCGATCTTTTACACCCCCTGCAAACCCTATGTATTGCTCAGATAGACAGAATAATCCGTGGTCTTTTTTTTTAAGTATAACTATTACATGAAATGTAAGTATGAAATTAAAAATGCCAGTGAAGATAATTAAGACCCAATGTTAGATTGTATTTGCTTAAAGATTCAATGAGGCTAGCATTATTTCACTGAGTAACTTCATTCAGCAGATCATTTTTTCTTATCCTAGCAATACTAATTCTAGATATATACTGGTAAGATCCCTACAACTGTCATAATATTCAACAGTTGCAATTCTTTCCAAAGAATTTAATGAATGGAACATTGCAATCTTTAGAGGTCTAAAATATTGTATCTTTTTTTTTCTCTCTCTCTCTTTTATTAAAACATCGTACATAAATAATTCAGTGTACAGAAAATCATAATACATACATTGCATAGAAATTTATAAATCAAAATCACAAATAATTGCCTACTTCTAGAAACAGATTATCATTAATTACATGTGCTTTCCTTAGAATCACGTTTTGTAAACAAAGACAATTTTTTATCTTATTTCGAAAAACTTCTATATACATGTTTTCTTTTTGAAATCTACATTTCATTTTATATTTATAAATGGTAAAACAAATGAATGACAATAGATTATTCAATCTAGTTGTTTTTAAATTGATTTCATTGTAAAAACATCTTTGTTCCATTTACTTACATTTAAATTATTGTTCAATATGCAATTCAATAATTTATAATTGAATTCAGCAACATTTTTTTCATACATATACTTAATTTTAGCTAGATATACATTTTTCCAGACATATTTGTAACTAAGATCAAACGTCTTTTGCCACATATTTTCATAAACTGATCGTTGAAACTTTATGTTTACCAAAATTGAATAATAGTATGTATTAGTTTATTCAGGATATAACTTTGGGCAATACAGCCCATCAGTTTACAAAAATAACATATAATAACATATATTACAAAATTTAAGACTCTCAATGAGCCTAAATTGGGGGTGAAACCCCTGGTCAAGTGTTCCTCAGTCCCACAGTTCCACTCATTTATAGTATACAATAATATATATTGAACAAATTAAGTACAATACAATAAGCAGCACAATAAATAATTCAAAGTTATGATACAATATATAGCAATGATGTTTTAATGTACAGACATCTGAAAATATAAACCTTACATAGATAGAAATTAGGTTAACCCGGTTGATCTTCGTTGCGTAATATTAGAGCATAATGAATATATTTCCCTAAACCAACTAAAGTAGATATGCGGTTGGTACCAAACAATTGGATTAATTTAAAAGTACTTGGCGATTTGTAATAATATTCATTTATATATTTTTTTCTTAAATTTAGATATCTAGGGCATTGAAGAATGAAATGGAATTCGTCTTCTATTTCACGTGTATTACAAACATCGCATAATCTATAAAAATCACATTTAAGGTTTGCTACAGTTCTTACACTATTATCTCTAAATAAAAATGACACTTCGTTTTTAATATTAATAAATTTTGCATATGTACAATCAAAATTGTTTTTGTATTCTCTGAGTGCCTTTTTTATCATGATATATTCACAGAGTATATTGTTTTTCTTTTCCAGTATATTATAAAAGTGTTCAATACTAAGGAAGTTTCCATCATTATCAAAAAGATCTTTGATATGTAGAATATCACTTTTTATCCAGTTTTCAAAACAAAGAGGTTTAGAATCATACTGAAACAGATTATTGTTCCAAATGAATTCCGATAAAAATTGGTCTCTCTTTAAAGCACAAATTTGTTTAACTTTTTTACATTTATTGAAAGCAGAAAGGACTTCACCATAAAAAAGTGGTATTCTTAGCATCTTAAAAAAAGCAGTATTTTCAAAGTTACATACACTTGTTTTAACAATATCATTAACTGATAGGTTTTTAAGATTAAGAATATTATTCAACATTTTATATATTATACTTCTTTTATCTAGTATTCGTTTTATCCAAGAAGCCTTCGCTGCAGTAAATTTACTCTCTATATCAACAATACCTATTCCACCTTGGTTAACTTTACCAATTAGCGTATTTCTCTTTATCCTATCTTTTTTCTTCCATAAGAAATTAAATACAAGTTTTGATACATTTTTAAAGAATTCATTTTTTGGATTTGACAAAATAAAAGCATTATACATGTATACCAATTTAGATAATGCTAGTGTATTTATTATAGTGCATTTTCCGAAGATCGTTAAGTTTCGCCTTCTCCAAACACTCAGTATTCTTTCAAGTTTCTCTAATTTATTTGTCCAATTCATATCATAACAGATATCCTTATCATGACCGAGATATACACCTAATGATTTTACATGACTTTTAGCAATTCTAACACCACAAATATATTTTTCATTTAAATACATTTCAATAAATTTTCCTGTCAATAAACATTCTGTTTTGTCCATATTCAATTTCGGGCTTGCGACTTTGCTAAATTCACGTATTGTTTCTAAAGCTTTTTTCAATGAATAAGTGTCTTTCAATAAATTAGTGCAATCATCGGCATGCTGTACGATTTTTAAATTTCCATTATCACCTGGCGATAAACTGATGATTTCTTCATTATTTTTAAGCTGAACTGCTAGTATTTCTAGCACGAAAATAAATAAAAGTGCTGACACAGGACAGCCTTGTCTAATCCCTCTTTGCATTTCACATGATTTTGACATCCAGCCATTATTTTTAACTTTAAAAGTTGGTTTAGAATATAATGTTTTTATCATTTTGATAAAATTTTCACCAAAATTAAATTTTTCTAGAGTTTTGTACATGAAGTTATATTCAACAGAATCGAAAGCTTTTTCAAAATCGAGAAAGAGCAAAATACCATCAATATCATTATTGTTACAATATTCAAATATGTCTAATATTATTCTCGCGTTCTCCCCAATGTATCTACCTTTGATATAAGCACTTTGTTCACTACTAATTATTCTACTAGCAACTTTTTGCAAACGATTAGCTAGAACATGAGCAAAAATTTTGTAATCAACGTTTGTAAGACTAATTGGTCTATAGTTCTTAAGATTTTCTTTCTCTCCTTTTTTATATATCAGCATTTCTTTGCGAAAAAGGCAAAATACCATCATCAATACTTTTAAGTAAAGAGGAAAAGAATGTTTCCTTTTAATTATATCATGCCAAAAAACCTTATAGAATTCTGCTGTTAAGTCATCTTGACCAGGGGATTTGTTATTTTTCATTTTAAGAACAGCTTCTTCACATTCTAATTTTGTAGGCAACATGTCACATAACTCTTTCTCGGCCTTTGTAACCTTTTCGCAGTTAACATTTTTTAAATAGTTTTCTATTTCATTATCAGAAATCTTCTTACTAGTATATAATGAACTATAAAAAGTAAACAAACATTTCATAATATTATCATTGTCACTGATAACAGACTCATTATCATCCTTGATTTTAGTTATTGCATTATTTATTTGCTGCTTTTTTTCAAGACCTAAAAAATAAGAGTTACTTTTCTCACCCTTTTCTATCCACAAAGCTCTAGATCGTACATAGGCTCCGTTAATAATAATTATCTCTTTCTTCTTCAAGTTGTCGTTTGTACCTCATATTTATTTCAGTATAATGTTTTAAATCTAGTAGTTTTAATTGAGTTTCTATAAATTTGATACGCTTTTTTTGATTATTAGCTTTATTTTTTGAAAAAGACATACAGAAGTCTTTAATGGATATTTTCATTCGTTCCCATCTTACTTTTGGATCATTTAACTGTTTTAATTCTTCTTTTTCGTCACTTATATGTTTTCTTAATTTTTCACAAAATTTTTCTTCAGTTAATAATGAGTTATTTAACTTCCAGAAACCACTACCTTGTAAATTTTCAGAAGTACTGAGATCAAAACTTAAGCCCAAATGATCGCTCATACGTATCCCTTTAACACTAGGTGCTCTACGCACAGTAATATTACAAAGCGGGAAAAACATATTATCATTAATAAAAACATAATCTATTCTGCTTTTGGGAATGTCCTCTCCATCACACCACGTTAAACCATTTATACTTGTTTTTCCGCTGGTAATCCAGCAGTCATTTAGATCAAAATATTTCAAAATTTTTCTTAAATTCTTAACACTTTTATCATTTTGATTACAGTCTAATTGACAATTAAAGTCACCACAAACAACGAGCCCTTCTATATTCATAGCATATTGACTTACCCAAGATAATAATCTTTTAAAAAATGCAATTCTAGAGTGTTCAGCGTTAGGTGCATAAACATTCACAATTGTTGTAATTTTTTCATTATATTTCAAGTTAACCAATAATCTTCTTCCATCAAGAGACTGATGATAATTTAATATTTCAACGGAAAGGTTTTGCTTGAAAAATAGTGAAACGCCCCTACTATATACGGAGTCAGAAAAGCAATGAAGTTTGTTTCCAAACCATCGGGAATTGTATATAAATTCATGTTCTTTAACAAAATGTGTTTCTTGTAAAAGGACTATATCAAAATTGGAATCTTTCAACCACTCAAAAAGTGTTACTCTCTTTTTATAAGTATTTAGGCCTCTCACATTTAAGGAGAGGAATGATAAAGAGTTTTTATTCATTTGGTCGGGGAGATTGTTAACTCACATCATTTTGTAGCAGATTCTTTTTCATTTTTCTTTTTATTTTTTTTCAAATCTCGGAGAAATGTATCAAGTTTCTTTTGACTGTCCTCGGTTTGAGAGCCTTTCCTAGGCACGGAGGCGCTCCTGAGTTTTCTAGTATATTTGGCAGCAATTTTTTGGACGATGACTCCAAGTTTGTTTTCACCTGGCCATTTTGATGGTTCTGTTTGAGTTGTGCCGATGGTATCCAAGCCTGTACCCCAGTACACGTCAACAGTGGACTCGGCAAAAATTGTATTAGCATTAGAGGCTTCAAGTTTTTCTCGCATTAAAGTTATTTGTTCAGCTTTTGCAGACACGATTTCCTCCATTATTTCCAGTTTTTGCTCGCTCCAACCCTCCGGGTCCGTTATGGAATTTCCTATCTTTTTAGCATCGAGTGCTGTGGGAGCGTTTCTTACCTTCTCAGCTGCAACTAAATTACCTGCACGTAGCGCTTTCGTCAACTGATAAGCATGCTCGGCTGACTGGTGGTGCTCGCCAAAGACTTTAATGTCGCAAGGGAAAAAGTTTGAAATGGGATTTTCTTTTTAATAAATAAAATATTGTATCTTATATAAAAGAAATACTACGCATTCGACATTCCTAATACCCCCCCCCCCCCCCCGTATTTGGAGGACAGAATGAGCTATTTATAGAATCTTCGGGGTGTGGATATTTGCAATTCTAAATTGAAATATATTATGTATTTCTAATCTAAGCCACAGGAAGGAGGAAAATGCTTTCTTTTTCCCGTCAATTTTACTTGCTCGCTTCAGATCCAATTATCGTGCAATTCTATTTTTTAAAACAAATAATAAATGTTCAGTATACTCTCAGTCAACTGAAATGTTAACTTGGGGTCTTCGTGTGTCCCTGAAAGACTCCCCCATGTATCAGAAGTGATAACAAAGGGGAGAGAAATCTGTCGGTTTGTCACTCTATGGGAATTTTTTAACATAGAAAGAAGTGAAAGAAATTCTAATCTGTTCAATTCAGGAGAACTAGGTGACGAGTTCTATTATTTTTTTTTTTCAGTTTTGACTACTTTAAACAAGAAAGGTATAATTTTTTACACCATGATTTATGTAAAAACAGAAATATTATTAGTTTTTCTGATCTCATGGATAGTCATGATAAATTTGTTCTTACTGGATTAAATAAATACTGTAAACTTGTCATGTCAGTTTTTAGGCAATGAATACAACCATTATATTATCTTCCAACACGTGTAACTCTTGTACATGTTTCTTCCTATATTCCTATTTTGTTGACTATAGTTTTAGATGTTTAAAATTTGTAATATGTGTGTACTATTATGCCTCATGCCAGGCCTTGAGTGCATAAAAAGTTTCAAAAGTTTCAAAGTTTCAAAGGAACTTCAAAATTAATCTTAATGGAACTCAGATTTTTAATTGAAAAGCCTGATTGTTGATATGTTGAGTCCTTTCATCTTTTTCTCAATGGTTTACAGTATTTACTACTTACAGATACAGGAGAGGGAGTTAGTTTAACCATAATTAGATAAATTATAAAAACAAAAAACAAAAAACATGGAGAAATGATGATTGAAGCATAAACAGTTTGCAGTCCCGTAGAACGCGGGAGGGGGGTAATGGGTATCCCACCCCCCACCCCCACTTTTTCTGAGTATAGTAAATTTTCCTTAAGATGCTGGTCCTCCCCACTATTTATTGCTGTAAGATCGAGTACTGGCAAATTCCAGGATTTGGACGTATAATGAGGTTTTTTTTTTTTTTTTAATTTTTTTAATTTTTTTTAATTTATTTATTTATTTATTTATCTATTTACTTTTTTTGCTTGTCAGATTTTTCTGGAAAGTTGTCTCACCCCCCCCCCCCCCTACACACTTCTCAGTTTAAGTTTTTTTTTTTTTGTTTGTTTTTTTTTTCCCCTTGTCATATTCTTTGGGGGGATGGGGTTGGTCCCCCACTTTTGAAACCGTTCCTACGGGCCGGTTTGTATAGAGAGTTAGGGGAATAATGATAAAAGGTCAACATTGTAAACAGAGTAATATTTTGGCATTAAGAAATTATTACAGTGGTTGGTTAAGTGTAACAGTTCAGAGTTAGCACATAAACAAACAAACCGATTTTTTCCCTTGACTGGGAATTAAATCAGAGACAATCACCATAACTGGAATCTAACAAGGAATTCATCAGATAAGATTGTACTTAATTGCAGGTGAGGCAGAAAACACCATTTCCTTATGCTCATTCCTGTCTCGTTTCATCTCCCAAAAGACAAAATTTACCCAACATGCACCTCTTCCATGTTGTATGGTAATTGGTTATAAAAATTCATAGAAGAGTTCAATAATTGACAAGGATTAAACGGATTTATAGTATTTTCTCTCTCCATCTGTCCCCATCTTTCTCTCCAGGGTATGGAGTCATGAGGGTCATGCAAGGTCGTGACCTAATTCTCAGGTCATTGTTCAGACTCAATACACAGGCCCTTGACCACATGACCAGTGAATGAATTATGGGTGAATCTCATTATGGGGATAGGGGTCTGGCAGATGTAAAGAAAATTATGGGGATAAAAGAAAAACTGTAATGATATTAGAGTGTAGTGGATGTCGTGATGAATGGGCTTTTAATTGCTCCGTCTCCTTAACTTTTATGTTCCCATGTTATTCAAGAGAACTTGATGAGATGGGGACACTTTATACATGGAATTTGATGAGAATTTGTGTTTCTTTTGATTTATTGGAATTATATCAATATCGTACCAAAAAAAGACCAGCCTTTCTATGGGAGAAAAATAGTATTCTTACTCAAAATCCCAAAAATATCTTAAAGAGACTAAAAATAGAAGTATTTTGAAATGATAACAGTGACACAGTTGAGTTTTATCTTACCTCTGCTGACCCCAATTTTTTTTTTTTTTTTTATTAAAAGGTCATTTTTTGGCCTTTATGCCTTATGCATGTAGAACATATAGACGATAAATGATCAGAATGAGTTTATTATTTGATCTTGTAAGGATACATAAGACATTGATAAAGATCTTTGTTATCAGAGAGATCATCTCTGTCTTGTCTTTTTGTTTGTTGGAGCTCATCTTTGACAAGTGTCGCTCAGTTCTCCCCCGCACTGTATTCCTTCACCTTTGGTTTGGGGATGTGTTTTACGACAATCAATGACTTTTTAACAGAGAGTTTGTATACACAGCAGTATATAACAAGTTGACATAATAATCCGGATATGAAGTCAAATCCCCCATGACTTCACCACCCTCATTGATCATCGCAGAATGTTGTAGACTCGGGGTGGGTTGTAAAATTGTAGGTGAACCAGACAGGAATTTATGGACACAGAGTACTTGGTGACTGCTGTTACTGTTGTGGAAAACTAACCTTTATTACGAGATATATGACTCCTTATTCAGACGATCCCAGAAATGTACATTTCTTCAGATTAGAGTGTTTATACTGTCAGAAAAAACAACAATTTCCAATATCTAAGCGTTGAGTGTTGTTAGTCCCCTACCGGTGAAACCGGAGGGGACTATAGGTTTCCTCTGAGTCTGTCCGTCCGTCCGTCTGTCTGTCTGTCTGTCCAGCTGTCTGTCTGTCAGTCTGTCCCACTTGGTTTTCCGCACTTTTTTTTCTAAAGTCTTGCAGATATTGAGCTGAGTTTTGGTATGTGACTTTACCTTGCATTTCGTTCCGCTTCATTGATTTTTGACGGAATTATGGCATTTTCAATTTTTAGGGGGAACCAGATTACACTTGCCGGTAGGGGACTAGTATTGCTAATGCAATACTCTCAGAATGCTTTTTATTTGAGTTATATATACTAAGAATGCTGGGGATATACGAACAGCGGGGGGGGGGGGGGGGGTCTTCATTTTATAGTGGTTTTTTTTTCCTTTTTTCTTTAATCAGTCAAAATAGACAGTGTTTTACACTTTTACCAAAAATGCACAATTAAAGAACAAAGATTTATTAGCTGTGCTATAATGAAGACTTTAAGAGTTTGAAATGAATAGCAATTTATCAATTCAATGATTTGATGTTCTGAACTCATGAACGATATTCTTATTTAATAGTTACCCCTACGCTACCCTTATATTCAAATGATGACTGAAAGTTTATATTAAGTTGGCACACTGTTAAAGTTTTCTCTCTTCGGATGATAATAACGAAATCAGCTGTGTATAAGTAAAGTGTATTTTTGCCTTTGTATGCCATTTATAAAAATTGACCTCATATTGTATGTTCTTAAATAATTATCTGTGTAAATTGCAACTAATGAATTCTTAAATCATAAAATTCTTGTAAATGTAATTTCAACCATTAATAAATAGTACAATGATTAATGATCCTAAGTGAATTTGCTATATATAATTTCAAAAGATTAAATTCATGGCTTCACACTCTTGTTGTTTCTTTGTGACAATCATGTTCCTCTTTGAAGACTCTGACGTCCCTGTACGGTGCATTTCCTGGAGTAGGTTTTATACATGACCTGCTCTTTAGTAAGGCTGTTTTAAGCATTAAGTGAAGTATTTAAGAAACATAAAGCATTAAAAATAAAAACTTTGTCAGTGATGCTCAAGATCAAAAGCCGTGAATGTCGACTTATGTCGATGGACGCCAGAAAAGCTGCGACGAGATGTTTACTGCTGACATAAAAAAATTACATCATTAAAAGTAGTTAATGATTTTAAATCAAATTATATTTAAAGAAGTTAATGATTTTAAATCAAATTACATTTAAAGTAGTTAATGATTTTAAATCAAATTACATTTAAAGTAGTTAATGATTTTAAATCAAATTACATTTAAAGTAGTTAATGATTTTAAATCAAATTACATTTAAATTAGTTTTAGTACAGCCTATTTCTTTAGCAAGTAATTCAAATTCCTATTCAGTGAAAAAAATCTGATTACTGGCCTCGTTAAGAATGATCGATTTAGTGATTATTTACATTTAAAAAAAAAAAAAAAAAAAAAACAATATACGTTAGTTTCACATCAGTGGGTTGTAATTTAATCAGACGCGACACTGATGCTGAGTGTTTGGAGGGAGGTCACTCTGGTTACCGTGATGTCACTGTAACGTTTGAATAAATATTGAAAATAAATAAAATATTATCATGTGCCAGAAATGGCTTCAGTATTCTTTATTTTTTTCCACATTTTTGAATAATAGTATCAATCTATTGTAATATGTAAAGTTTTAAAACTATACATTGATTAAGAAAGAAACAAATCTTTAATATTATTATTAATAATATTACAGAGAGGACTCGATGATCGATCTAAAAAGACATATTACGGGAGTAGGACTTTAGGAGAGTTATTTCTCTTTGTCCGCTTCTCATATTGAATCTCAAGTTCAGTCTGTTACGTTATTTGAATGGGGGAATAAAATTTGTACATCACAGTGGATCAGTTGGTGTAGGGAAGGGGAGTGCGGGATGATTTTGGATCCAATCTCTCCTTTATATATGAAGGAAATTGTCTTTTCCTTGAGGAGTCCCCCCCCCCCCTCGAAACAGTTTTTTTTCCCTTGGTGTAATTTTTATACTCCCGCTTGAGAAGTGGGAGGGTATATAGTGATCGGGATGTCCGTCCGTTCGTCTGTGCGTCCGTCAGTCTGTTACGCTTTGTGGTACTCATCTCTCATCCTCTTATACCACTGAATGAAATTTAATGAGACTTTCACAGAATCTTTGTTACATAGTTCCATTATGCACCTTCTATTTTACTTTTTGATCCGACACATATTTCAGGTCTCCCATAGCAAAACCTGGACTTTTCCATTATATTAATATGGGAGGCGGGGGGGGGGGGGTCATTTTGTGAGCTCAGTGCTCACAGTACCTCTAGTTTTAAGCTGGTATGGACCCCCTTCCTTTCGTAATGAATTCCTGGATCAATCCTTGTTATTTATAACATTAAGTTGCAAATTAACTGCTATTATCTCATTCTTTTATTATCGGCCATTGGCCAGAAACATTCATCTTAAGGTGTAATATCCTTCTGCTCTAAATTTCACTAATTTTCTTTTAACTTCCCAACACCGATTTTCATCAACTACAACAGCTGAGACAGTGAATAGAAAGATCAATATTTTTTTTATCTCAACATAAAATGAAAAATTGTGAGATATATATATGAAAATAATATTTAGTATCATACATATTCAATTCATATTAGAAAACAATACGAAGCTTGCTTTTTAAATCAGAATATAAAATTGTTTTCCGTGCTTGTAAAATGTATCCATCTACGAGAGTTATCTTTCCATCTACAAGAGTTATCTTTCTTCAAAATATTTTTAAGGGGAAAAAAATATAATTCTGCATCTGGAACATGATAAAATTTTGTAGCACGTTTTAAAGATTGTTTATTGAGAGATAGAAATATCTCAATTTTAACAGCTTTAAAAAAGAACTGAGTGCAACATTTCAGGTCAAATATTATATAAAATATAGACATATGAAAACAGAAATCAATATTTGTAACATAATTCAGATCTGATTGAATTGACTATATAATGGTCCTCATTATTAAACTTTAAGTACAGCTTGCAATAATTTCCTTGGAAAGTTATCTCTCATATCAGAGGGACTTTTCACATTAACTAAGGGGTTTGGACTGCAGCCATTTTTTTTATATTTACTTTTTCGACTTTTCCACTAACTTTTTAACAACTGCCCCATTGTAATAATTTTCTATGAATAATTGTATGAGATATATTTATTCATTACAGGAACTTAACTGATCTGAATTTACATACATAGAGATAAATTATTACCTCTGAAATTTACACTTGCTCATATTGTAGATCGTCATGGTGAGTTCTGAATTTTTGGAGCGTACAAAATAGTAAAACTGAATTTGAAGTTCATCCAATGAGTCATATTTTGTTTCTATATAGATGAAATCATATGAGTGTTCCTGACAATTGTGAAAGCTATTTATAGACAGGTAAGCATTCAGAGGATTAGCAGCAATAACAACAAAGACAGGATTCTTGTCACAAATATAAAACAATAATTTATTCATGTTCTCATATCACTGAATTCAGGAAAATGAAGCACAAAATCTGTCAAAATGTTACCATGACGACAGTTTCTACTGACAACGTTTGTAACTAAGCACATGATCACAGGTGATGTCTGTTTCTACACATGGATCAGAAAATTAAACCAGATATAAAACAACAGACAAAATAAACTAGGAAATAATTAGGTGAATTTGCAATTTGACTAGTATATAAGAGTTTTGATATAAGTTGCTTTAGACATACACAATTCTTACAGTGCTCTTTATATGAATGGTTTATATTTTATTACTATACACAGGGACTAACAATCAGTAAGTCAGAACAAATGGAATTCTTACTATCTGTATAACAATTGACATTAGTACAGTTTCTGGTACATATTATATCAATAGTTACGAAATTGGAAACTCAGAGGAAATGCTTCCATAAGACAGTGTGGGATCAATTAGAATACTTTTAACATTGGTTCATCTCTGTTCAAAGTAATGACAATTTATTTTTCTAATACACTTTTCACTGTTATTGTAAAACATGGAAACAAAACATAGGAATAGAATAGGGGGAAAATCTCTCTCCCTGATTTATACCTCTGATGGTTAATATCTCATACATCAATAGAACTCTACATACACTACTACTTAAATATCACATGTGAATGAATTATACATATTCATGACTTAGAGCACTTAAATTTACAGCTGCAATATGCAACCACCAATCTATAATAATAAACAACTTCCATCTACCATCAAAGACAAATTGTATCTTGTAGCATAAGCTATTTTCATGGCTGAAACAAAAACTCCAGGAAAAAAATTTGTCTTAGTGGAACACCATATATATATAACACAAAACATGTTTAAATATATTATACAAGAAATTGTTCTTTTCTCACTCTCTCTCTGAATAATCACATCATATTACACAGTATATCACATTTATGCAAATTTATGCAAAACAATAATCCAAGCATCCACTATCACACAAACAAAATCAAACTGTTGTCACAGAGAGGAGGGGGTTATACGTTTTCCCATCAGAAACCCGACTCCCGTGGGCCAGCATTTCCTGAACTGTCACAAAATTGTCTAACACTTTCTTATTTTTATGCTTCATCATTTTTCGATGACTTAATTCTACAATATTTATTTCCTTCTTTTCCTCTGCTTCCTTAAGTGTTTCCATTTTTGCTCTCATCATGCATTCTCGTTTTCGTTTGTGATCACGTGCTTTTTCTAATTGTCTTTTACGCTCTTCCTTTGACCAATAACGTCCAAATTTCAACTCACTCATCGCATCATCATCAGTTGTCATACCACATCTTTCCTCAGAAATTTTCTTGGCTCTCTCTTTCAGAAGCTTGCTTTTCATTGGACGACGTGTGATGTAGCGAGTTCCATCTGGTCGGCGCTTCACGACCCACTCCATCTGTCCACTGCTGTCTGGAGGAGTGGCATTTGGACTATCTCTGGAGACATTTGGACTGTCTCTAGATTTTACCTCGCCCTGTCCACTAACAGAGCTAGCACTGGAGACAGAAGGCTGCAGGGGAAGTCCAATGTTTTTCCTGTTTCTCATTGGGTTCTGCTCAATCTGTTGCTGGAAAAGTTTCTGTTGGATGGCTATAGTGTGTTCAAGATTGGCTTGGTTAGTATACATCACATCAGCATACTGCATGTATAGGTCCTGTAGGGACTCACCCATACAGTTTTGTTTCTGGAGTGTTGCTGACTCATGGTCGGGAGCGATGGACTGGTAGTCATCACTTGGGCCCCCATTCTGCCCACATGGAGTCTGTGTTTGTTTCTCAGTGTCACTTAATGCCGACACATTAGTGTTTGATGGAGCCAGGCACAACATAGAGTTTTTGAAATCCCCTTCCTCTGAGCCTTGATTCAGTTCTAGAGTTAGAGGTGTGCTTCTACAGCTCTCCCCTGTATTATAAGCACTTGTGGTGGTGGAGGCGTCTTTCTCACATTGAGTTCTTGGTTGTTGACTGGCAGGTTTGGGTAAGGTGTCATGACGGTCCAAGGAATTTGGGTTGTCGTATAATTGCACATATTTTAAATATTCGAGTCTTGTTCCCATTCTAGGCACAATTCTTGGACTTTTAATTTGCAAAGCTTCTCGTTGAAGCTGATGCTTATCCATGTCCTTTGCATGTTTATCACACATTTCTTGACACTCCATGTGAATGGTTTCCATTTCTTTGTTGAGTAGAGCGAGCTCACGCTCAATGCTGCTCACCGAGTCTTTTCTGACTGAGCCCTTCTGAGGGGAACATTCCATAGCATTATTTACATAACGACTCTCTATATGAGCTCTGAAACTGTCACATTCATTGCCGTAATCAGTTACGTCGGTTACTTCATTTGACAAAACACTGTCGTCACTGTAATTTTGCTCCTTACGTCGGAACTTTGAAGTCGCCGCAGGAGAATTTGTGCACTCTGTGTCAAAAGGGTCCTAAAAAACAAAAACAAACACAGAAGGTCAATATCTTGAAGAGAAATCAGTGAAATTTATGAAATGTCTAAAAAGAAAAATTGTTTTGATGAGAATATCATAAATAAGTATATCGGGTGCAGTTCAATACAGGTGAACTTCTATGAGAAATTATTCTTCCTGTCATTTTTTATCAAAATCCATTAATTTTAAAGATAGATCTGAAAAGTTTGACTTGATACTTCACTAATACAACTCTATCTATCTGAACTACATAAATATATTCAATTTCTCTTCCATGAATTTCAAACAAAACAGCTACACAATCCTGGGGGCATATTATTGTATCAAACGTGAGGATAGCTCCTGCTTTGAGGCAAAATAAAACTAAAGTCAGAGAAAAAAGATGTTTTGCATAAATATTTCAAAAACTTTCAGGATAAATAGTTCAAGTCAGAACAAGTCCACCAGATTCCTATCTACACAATTTTGACCTGCGACTCCATTTTGCTTGGTATCTCTTAATTGTTTGCATGTCCACATTTGTGATTACTATCTCCCGTTTCACCTTTCTCTTAATTTGTAATCAGAGAATTATTATGTGAAGTAATATAGTGTATTGTAGGAAAAAGGTATCAGGCAAACTGTCAATCAAGGAAAAAATACTATAATGGATTAAAAAAAATCCTATGTCTGAAACATACTCTATCATATTAATATTAATATTATCATATTATTTAGCAAAATTTAGCAAAAATAAACTGGAGCGGAATCCAACTCCCTATAAAAAGTTAAATTTCCTTCCAAAACTATTTCTGTCAAAAGTACAACACTAAGAAGGTAGCTCATTCTTTTCTTTTTAGTCTCAAGTTTATTTTCTGCTCTTAAGAGTTGCCCCCCACCCTCTTTTAGAAAGATACCAAAGTATTTAGATCTCTCTAAAACTCTCACAAGAATGGTATGATCTGTTTTAATCCCCTAGAACTGACAATTCCAGAATTCAATTACTCCAAGATCAAAAGACAGAAACCAAAGATCAAAGGAATTGAAAAATGGAATATTTCAAGGAAAGAAAACTCAACTGATAACAAATTGAGAGAAATTACATTTAGTTAAGTATTTGGTTGATTTTTGTATGCACTACAGTATTTGTGTGATAAGCCCTGTCGGTGTGTAAACTCTGCTCCCCACTAAATCGACATGGTGGGACGTTAACAAACCCTGGAAGGGATTCAAGCCTTTAATTGTACCTTAATAAAGAAACGGCAAACTTGAAAGGGAGATCTTGTGGATAAATAATCCCAAACCCTTATAAATGCCATAATCCATTGATAAAGTATCTTGTTGTTGATAATTTCATCAACTGCTACATCACTTTCTTCTGTGTTTCTCACACCTTAGATTTGGTTTCCCCATCATGATTATAGAAACATCCCCCTAAACAGTACTTTCTTAAAAATAAAGAATTTAAGAGTCAATGTTTTAAAAAAAATGGCATTTCGATACAACTCCATTGTTAATCAATAAAGTTGACAGAATGCCTATTTAATTTTTTTTCTTATTTTTTACTTTCAACCATAACAAATGAAATTTTAGGCAGGTGGCTGATATTTTTGTTGCTTCTCAAGAAGTACCATCCATCAGTAAACATCTCGATTCACCCTTGAGTTACTCTTTATACACAGAAACCCACTGGAGATCAATATTTGTGATTGGCAGATAAGATGTGCAGATGAAAGGGAGAGATGATTAAATTCAAAAGAATCAAAAAGAAACACTGATGAAAAGACCTTATTTATCAGTCATATAGGGAGATGAAAAGGTTTTGTATCTGCATTTTGAAACAAAACAAAAAAACAGAAAAAAGGAAAAAAAAAACCCTTAGAATTTTATTTTATCATGACTTAATAGTTATAAATATCTGTTATAAATGAGTAAACTGAACACATGCATAAGACAGCGAACATAAAATTAAGATACAAACCTGTTCGGAGCTCTCGTCATTCCTCGTGCTTTCGTCTGTTCGCCCAACACCGCTGTCTTTTTCGTGTTTGGTATCAGTTGTCCCCCCTTCTTCATCCATGTGTCCCTGTAGAAATAAAGAGAGGGTTAACCTCACTGTATGAGAAACAAAAGCCTCACGTCAGTATAACGGTATGAACCGCAACAAGACAGTTCTCATGTCTTACACTGAGCAGTAATGATACGATATTGATCTCGTGAGTCGACAAGTCCCTAAACTCACTTCAATGAAAGTTACAACACCTGAAGCGTTAGAAATTATTTTTTTATCTTATTGATTACGAGGCAACGTGGCAGCAGAGCTTGGCTCCTTACTCCACATTTTGAGGATTAGTTTCAGTGAAGGACTTAAGTAGAATGTCTTGTCCTCTAGAATTAACACACAGCTTCATATCAACAGCACTAGCTTGTCATTATAACAAATTATTGTACGACTGTAACAAATAAGCTTACAGAAATGGTGAAATAAAACACAGTTAATGCTATCATTCTCCTGTAGACTGCTGAATAATTAAAACGGACAGAATTCTGTAATAATTACACGCAGATAACGAGGTGTATCCCCAGCTACTGTCAGATCAAAGAGCGAAAACATGACAAAAGATTGGAATAAAAAATACCCCAATGAAAACAATAGCAAGACAAACCTGTTCATGATAGCATGCAGTCATTTGTTATAGTTAGCCCTATGAGGCAGACTGTGACTTCATGCTCATTTTTCACAACAATACAAACTGCACACATCTAAAGAAGACTAACTGCCCCAGGGCTGTCCCTTTAGCCTTAATTTTCACTTTTCTTTGTTTGGATCTTTTTTTCATTAAAAATCATTTTAATGCGATAATGATTCATTGCACCTTTTAGAAATTTAACATTTGATGATTTTAGTTCTGTGTCATCTGTTTTTCTTTGATGTGATTTGCAATATTATAAAATCAATACACAAAGTGACATCACACTAACTAAACGCTGATTAACAATTAGGGTTAAATGATTCGATTTATTAACGAAGAGGGAAAACTATCCAAATTCTAAAATTAGTCACTGCTGAATGACTCAGCAACTCATCAACTCATAGAAATAAAATTCTGTTTCATATCAAACACTGAATCATTAACTTCTAGTTTATAAAAGCAATGTTAAATGATTATATGCAAATATGACTGATTTAATCTGAATATACTTTCTACAATGAAGTTAAGCAAGCATCTTTTTTGTACACTATGTAGTTCTTGTAACTACAGGCTATATTTCTATCACATTAAACTAAATCATGCTCTATATAGATATAACGTGATATTACAAATTTATGTGTTGTCTACCCATAAGAATCATGCACTAGATTATATACGAGAATACAAATACACAAGGATTACAGAATACAGGGTAACAGATAGCCTTATAGGGTTTATATCCATGCAGGACCTACCCGAGCCAACATGGAAGCCATGATTTGCATGTTGTCACGGTGATGCTTCTCCAGAATATCCATATGAAGGTCATCCAAGGTCACATTCTGATCTTCCATAAAACCATCATCCAGCTAAAAAAGGGAGATAATTTGGCATTCACTAAGCAGAACCAATTAAACACACCCCTAATTCCATGATAAAGATTTGTGACTACGAACCAACAATCAGTTATGTAGGAAGAGCTAATCACAACTGTGAAAATTCAAATGGCTAACTTCAGTGACTTTTCCATATTTTATATGACAACAAAGGAAATATGGTCCCTACTACAAACCTAAACAGACCCCCAACAAACTGTTACCTTCCAGACAATATCATTTCTAACAGTGTTCCATATGGCACACAATGACAGACCAATCATATCTCACATCTCTTTGATCTTCAACATGAGACAGCTTTCTATATTAATGTTGTTCAATTTCTTCTTTTTTATTTAACAGTAAATGTGCAATATAAGGAGAAATCTAACCATGAATTTTATAGCTCTTAATGTGATCCTCATAAATGTAGCTACAATGATTAATTAACTTGATAAAAACTTGGACTTTTATTATTAAAGTGAAGTTATATTAAAAAACCATCACAGATCAATGATGTTATGACAGCAGATGCTTTTATGTTTTATAATCCATTGAATCAAAAATTTGTTATATTTAAATTTGATTTGAAACAAAATGTATTTAAATGAAGCTGATGGAAAAATGGCTATAATTTCAAAAATAAGACAAAAGACGTGCGACAAAACAAAAAAATCAAAATATATGAAACAGAGCCATTCATAGAATTTAACTTTAGTACATAAAATTGATTTGAGAGTAGTAAGAGGAAATACTCAGGACTGACCAACTGACCTCTCCTGTTAACCCCAAGTAAAAATGAACCTCAGCCGTTGTTTTTGTTTATGAACTATATATAGAAATGATGACATCAGCAGGCGACACAAGTCTGCCCAGAATGTAATATACTTTTCAAAACTCTCAGGTTTATTAATTACACCTGGCACATCAAACAACCAAGAGACAAATTACACTGCGACTTTCTAGTGTTGTTCTTTCTGGAGGAACAATAGAAAAAAACCACAATAACGGACCACTGAGTTTGTTTTCAATATCAGAGCTGCTCTCTTTCATCTCTGACTTTGTGTGTTTTTCATCAGTTTAAGTCTGTTCTCCTAATTTCTCTGAACACTAAAACAGGCTCATTCAGAAGTAAGAAATGCTCAGCAAGGAAAAGAAAACAGAGAGATAATGTTTAACAGAAGAATGTACGAGGTGTGCAGAAGAAGTCATTATGTGCATGTCCACACATTGTAGTGTAATTAGATGATAGACCTCGGCCTTTGATCTTGGGTTATAGAGGTCAGCTGTGCTTACAGAAATCTGTTTGTGAAGTGTTAATTGTCCATGAAGATGCTGAGGTTTTGTGGTCAAAATCATTAAAAAGGCCAAACAAGTGCAAAGAACTAATTGTCCATTAAGTTGGATTTTCTACATTATACTTTTCTTGTGAAGGCCGACCAAACTACACTGAAAGGCTTCCACACATAACTGACAATTTTACATTATATTTACATAATTATTTCATCCTTCAGGAAAGAAATGGGATTCTTGCAAACTTCATTAGAAGGATAGCAAATGAATTAGAGCCAAGCTCAGAGGAGTTCATAAATCACAAGTATATAAGCAAGCAGATGTCCCGCCTCAAAGGTAAAGTTAACACTGAAGGCCAGGGGTTAATTTTTTGCCTATATGAAGCTGTCAACAGTTGATGCTGGGCCACACATCTCCTCCTCACTCCCCCTCATTACGGGGTCCACTTACACTGATTTATAAAAACATAACTATTGTGTCAGAATCGGGTCACACTGTCCTAATTAGCTACAGGAAAAAACACAGCTTGTGAACCACAACTACGAGCTGTTTTTCTGTCAGAGAAAGGAATTCATTTTTTATATGGTGTTCTCCCCATTTGTTAACTCAAATGAGAAATATCCTCCTTAACTAAATTTATGACAAAAACACCTGCATCCGGTTAAATGGCTATTTGTCACATGGGCCCCAATTCAGATATCTAAGTACTTTTCAAAATCATTAAAAAAAAATGTTCCTTGATAAGATAGCATTTCTTGGCATATTTCAGGGCACTTGGTTTTGGAGTAAGTTCTGTGATAGAACAGTCAGCTGCACACATGCTTGTCTGTCTGTGATCAGTTGTCTAGCTCCAGTTGCCTTCAAATATTGGAATATTTAACTAAGAATATTGGATTTAGGTTTTGTTTTTGTTTTTTCCCCGAAGAATTGATTTTTATACCATAACTACATAAAAGACCTAAAAATGCAACTCTTAACCAGACTTCTGTTTGTCAAATACTACGCTACTTAAAGGAAAATTTTCAAGACAAAAGCATTCTTTTTTCCTGCAAAAGTTAATTTTCCCCTCCCCATATCACAGGTGTTTAATGACAATACACACCAATATTTTGATACGTTAAGCCATTTTAGGTCAAGCTTGCCTGACTGTCATCCATTTTTTGTCTGACCTATACCTGATCTTCTGTCACTTGAAATCGCAGCACGACAGTCTATAGAGCTTAACTGCGAGGACTCTTTACAGAAAAGACACAGGTTAGGATCCACTATTCAGATCTATACCAAACACGACACACCTGAACTTCACTGATATTTAGACAATCCAACATGAAAAGACATTGGAAACAACTGTTTATGCCAAAGCTAAACAAACAACCTGTCACATCTACAGCCTGTAGGATTAGCCAGGATTTACTCTGCAGTAATGTGAGCACCTTGATGTACACGACCTTATTCCTTCCCCAAAGTCTACAGACAATGATTCTACATAGCTTCAATGACTTGTGTCAACATTTGTCAAAACTTTATAGGACTCCACAAAGAAACCTATAATACTGATAATTAATTGTGATCCAGTGAATTCTGTGGTGTACCCTGCCTCCTTGAGATGGTGATTAACCTTCCCCATGACTCCCCCAAGTCTTTGTCAATCCTGATAGAACACCTTTAAATTATAATTTGACAGAAAATGGCAAAGTCGGAACACAATATAATATCAAAGCAGGAGACCCCTTGAGGTAAGCAGCAGCCCTAACAATATATGTGGATTTGAGAGGGTATAAAATTACACAGTGTGGAACAATTTGTATACGTCAGTGTTTAATATTTTATTTCTAACATGTATGCACTCTTACTAGTGTTGAATTGTGAATTTTATAGAATTCCATAAATACATGCAGAATTCAAGGCCTTCAGAGCTAATTGAGTTTCCTCCCTTAACTGCTGGACATGGACAAGATCTACCGTTTCCGAAGTTTCAGCATAATTACTACCGGGACATCAGAGACGAGGTCACTTCCCTTGTCTTGCTGTCACAGAGTCAATATTTACCTGTAACTGTGGACGTGCCAGTAGAAGCTTGATTTCGGAGCCTCTTTCTGAAAATAGCTGTATGGCTTGGTCCCGACTTCTAACATCTACTCCATTCACCTAAAAAAAGAAAAAAATGAATATAATTTTCTGACTTACATAGTCTCATCTAATTTCTACCTTTCTACATGTAAGCTGATCTGATGTAGAGCTGGGCTTATATCGTCTTTCCTGCCAAAACAATTTTGTTCTATTTCCACATTTTTAGCATGGCTCACATTTTTTGGTAGACCCTTGATACGAGCCACATGTCTCTAATCTGACCTTGATATATATATAATGGCCATTTCTGGATTTACAAGTTGTTCAATCTCCACCAACTGCAGCCATAACTGTCAGAAGAAGTAAGATTTTGGGTATGAGCCTGTAATTAGCAGATTATTTCATGTAAGATGTAAGATTTTGGGTATGAGCCTGTAATTAGCAGATCATTTCATGTAAGAAAACAGGACTTATTCCAAAGTAATCTCAAGCACAACCTGAGTTCTGCAGAATGCGATAAGAATGACTAATACCTAATTAGAAAACATCAGAATTCCACAAGATGAGGGAAATTATTACATAGATCTGTTTATTGTCATTATGTACTACTGGCCAGATATTCAGCTGGGGACCCACCACACTGTGTTGTGGTGTTATCTGTAATGGTGGCTGCCTCTGTTTACATACACTGTTACAGTACAATACTGTCAAACCATCTCAGCAGGAGCCCCACTTCCCTCCATTACAGCCAATCATTACTTTCTTTAGAAATTTATTTTCTTCAGACAATAATGTCATCATTTTCAATATAATCATCTCATTTTTCCCCAGAATACATACAGACTTTAATGACAGAGTGCAAAAGATTTACGTCTACAGGTTTTAAAATTAATGACACAACAGCTTTTTTTGGACCAATCAGACAGGACCAGGGGCTGCTTTTCTAAATTATATCTATATTTGAACATTTACATTAATGATTGATCAGTCTAAGGCCGTTATTAAAAGCGCATGAATACTCGCGATTTCCGAGAGATGACAGGAAATTGTCTCGAGCTCGTTCCCTTTGTGGTGTCCGAGATTCGCAGCGCACCTATTTTGCAGGTTATGGATTTCCCATTTCAGACAAATGCTTTTCAGGAAATTTTTACGCAACAACTTTCAATAACTTGCATAATGGTATGATGAAGGAAAGCTTTCAAAATCATTTTAATGGCTTCATTAAATACCAGTAAGATTCTAAATAGCTGTAATTGATGTGGGTTTGTACTTTTTCTGTCCTGCACCAAGTCACACTACAAATCAATATTTAATCATTTCTATCCCCTAAAATTCGGTACATCCACTCAATACATACATCAGAATCCTAAAGATAAAGGGGAAATAGAAGATCAAAGGCTGAAGATGTAAGCTAATGGTAAATATCAATTAAATACTTAATTTACCTCTGAACATGTCCGATGTGATTAGAAGACCAGAGTAATTTATCATAGTTATTAATAAATATTAAAGCAGATCTGAATGATAAATAGCAATGTATCTTGTCCTGATCTAGCCACAGGCTTGTTTACCAATCTAATCTCTCTAATTATCCAAATAAATATCAGATTAGTTCTATTTACTTTTAAGGACATGCAGTGTTGAAACAACTTTTTACAAATCACAGAAATGAAATCTTACAACCGTTTTATTCTAAGATTGATATCAATATTTAAGATGGTTTTTCAACAGCATTTGCATTGCACTTATTTTGGGTTGTATCAACCTCTACTTCAAAGTTGGGGGGGGGGGGGGGGGGCTTTCACTGAATTGTGGCAGTCTTTGCTTGAGGGTGTGTATTTGATATTGAGGGTACTTCTTGGGGGTGGGGGCAGCACCTCCTTGGGTTTTTTCTTACCTGTAGAACCTGATCTCCCTCCCTAATTCTTCCATCATGTGCTGCTACACTTTGTGCCTCAACCTGAAAAACAAACATAAGTCATACAAAATGGACACCAGATAAAGGTCAACTTGTCATTATTGTCTTAAGGTCATACAGTGCAGCAGATTTTGATTGGCTAATTGTCTAACATCTATCAAGCTGAGATTTTTCTTTAATCTAATCTTTGAATACATTTTATTCTCCCCCATTCGACCTTCCATAAACCAATCTTTCCCCCTTAATGGTTTGGATTTATGACCATCTTACATTATTCCAGCATTCAATGATAACAATGGGGCCCCTTTGATGTATACCTCAGTATTTCTAAATAATGATAGCCAGTTAATGCTTCACAGACAAGGAGCTAAGCAAAAACTCTCTGCTGATCATCAGCGTAAAAAATGTGACGGGAATCTGGGGGGATGTGGGGGCATGCAGGTGAGATTTATGACTGCGAGCAGTGAAAACAAAACGCGAGTTCCTGCTTCTGGATCTTGGTCTATCACCTGTCAGTCCGAACTCTCTCTTCATTATCAGGCTTCTCATCCACTTCAAAGAGAAGCTTGTCATAGTTTGGCACATTGGGGTGTAAACTGATTCCCTGCTCCTCCGATCCCAGAAACCACAATTATAGCAGAGTGTGAAGACTCCATGCTTCTAATCGGTGAAGCTCAAGAGAATTAACCAAAGTTCAATGAACTTTTAGAGTCCATAGAAAATTTTAAAATGATTTTTTTTATCATCTTTTCAAAATCAAAGTTCTATAAACTTCATTTACTACAGCTACAAATTCAGATTCTGGATAAAATCTTGCCATTATATAATTTGAACCAGGATACGGTGCAGAACTCTTGACATTGTTTTAGAAGTGAATGCAGAAGTGGTGTGACATAAGACATGGTCTTTACAATGCTTCAGCTTGTACCCACAGTGTGGCAACTTATGCCTTCAATAAAAAGCATGTTCTAGCAATCCGCCATGTCATAACTGTCCTCATCTGCCCCTGTGATGTTTTCCGAGTTATGATCGCAGGTAATTCCTGATTTTGGCAGATGCTGTAAGTCTGTACATATCTTCTCTCACTGTCATTCTGAGCCTAATCCTAGGTTATAGGCAGAAAGCCTTTTATCTTTAAGTTTATACTCACAGGTCTCCTGGAATAATGGAAATACTGACGCACTTAATATAAGTAATTTGTATACCTTGCCAAATTATGTCAAGAAGTCTGCCAGTTATGAGAGTTTTCCAAATGGGAGAGTTTCTTCTAGAAGGGAGAAAAAAAGTTTAAAATAGCTTCTGCAAACTGTTCTGTCAGAAATTATTACCTATGAATGTATAGATCTTGGTGCATGTTTTAATGTTTTAATGAAGACTCAAAAGAAATCCTAGAGAGTTGGCTCGACTTCCTTTTCTATCTGTAAGTACTTAGTAGAGATAGATACCTACAAAACCGTCCACAGATTTTTCAACTTCTTATTAAACAGAGGGTCAACGACAGGATTATAAGGGTATTCCCTGTTTATAATGATCTGACCATGTCCAGAGTTAGCTGTAAATAGGTAGAGGAGATTTGACCAATTTACATTTCAGAAGAGAATTTTCCACAGCTGTCGACTGCTGAAGCAGATACGCATACCTCCGAGATAAAATTTCCTTTGATCTTTGTGAAATGAACAACGTAGAGACAGATAATGGCAGTTGATGCTTTCCCTCCAAAACCAAACATTCTATTCATCAGAAAGATCGTAGACCTGGTTTGATACCTTCTCTCCAAAACAGAAGATTTTCTCCATCAGAGAAATCGCAGACCTGCATGGTATCAGGGTGCTGAATGAACTATATAGGAATATATGCAAGGGCTCCCAAACGATCAAAACACATCTCTAAAGAATTAAACTTTGAAAAATTTATTATACTTCCGTACTTTAAATTTGATTTCCCCTTCAAATATCTGAATTATTATGGATGTAAGAGAAATCTGAATCAAATATGTAGCTCTACTTACAAATAAAACAGAACAGAATGACCTCTGAAATATATTACCTACTCAAAATCAATAATGATGTTGTAAAAAAGAATTGATATGACCACAGAAATGATCCATTTTTTAAAAAAAAAAGATTTTCAACAGTAATAAACTGAAAATAAATTTGAATCCTTGTGCTCTCGAGTCTTTGATGCTATTTTAGAGAGCACAAAAGTCTGTGTATGTACTGCGAAGGAAATTTATTTGAATACATTACGTCAGTTATAAAATTTATGTGAGAACTTCAAATGAATGAGAGCATTAAAACTGATGTAAAAGTCCATGCTCTTGAGAAGAAGCAGTTTATCAATAAAAATCAAATCAATGACTGAACCAGGCAGGTAATGAGGGCATTAGATTCCAGTCTTCACAATGAAACGTGTGAAATTTACACCCTAAATTGTAAAACTTCAACCCTATAAATTTCATATTCAACGTCAACTTTTGGGGGTTCTTTTTTAGAATCCTAGTACATATTTCTGTAAGATACAACAGAAAATAATGAAAATCAGGCGTCAACAAAAACAAACAGAATAACCAATATACACGACACCTAAATGGGATCCGCGATTTTTGAGGCCTTTTACAATGGCTTGCTATTTTTACAGTTTACCACAAATTCTAGATTTTTTTCTTAAGGGATAGAAATGGTACAAATTTTGCTACCTGTTGTGACCTCAGGCCACTAAAATTCAATTAAAATCTGGGAGGTAAACTATTGTGCTGATCCAGTAAGGTGCTTTTTAACACTCCATAAACACTATAGAATGTACAAAGCTTAAGTCTGTGACATTAACCACAAATCGTACAAAAATAAAAAATACATTTTAGAGTTTAGAAGAAATAAGACCCCTAATCTTCTTGTGTTGCCTTACAGTACAGCCTCTAAGACACAACCATGACATAGCAGAAAAGCCAATTTTCATCTCAATTCTTGGTCTACAAACGTTTTTTGTTGTTACCTTAGCATTAGGAATAATGTAATCCTGAAAAAAATCCCACTTCAGTTTCATCCTGAACACTTGAAAGACGCCTTCAAATTTCACCCATGTTTACTGATAACCAAGACTTTGCCATACTGTATGGAGTTCACACTGACCGAAGACCCGTTATATTGACCAGGCACTTGTCAAAACTGAAGCGTGAAGTTTGAGACAGATGCCATATAGTGAAAATGACGTGGTCACTTCTCCCTGTCCAGATTTTATCAGCTCCAACCCTCCACAAATTAAAGATTGATTTCAAAGAGCCCTGAAATTGATTATTGCATTAGCATCCATTATGCCCCTGCTCATTAAGGGTCAGGGTGTTTTGGAAATGCTGGGGTCTGGTGTATATATGATCAAAATCTTGGTAATTATATTATCTCACATCAAAGGCTGCAAGAAATTTTACCCGCATAAATTGAAGCAACATCTCCAAGTTAGATAGGGCCAGCAAAGGCCTCGTTAGTTGTCTGTTTGGAAAACAATGTCCAAATTGTTTTTGTATTTGAATGATGCTAATCACCCAAGGGAGGGAACCCATTCCCCTAACATCAATCACAATCTTAGAAGAATTGCTAATCTGTGTACAACAGACAGTGAGGGGTCTTATTCACACACCAACAAACAACACAAACAATACATTCTGGTCCAGTTACACAGATTACAGAAACATTTCCCTCCCTTTCCTCTCAGGAATTGCCCTTAATATTGAGATATAGAACATCAGCTGATTAGGAAATACGATTACTGTTTTTTGCATTTTTTAAGCTACTGATTTTTGATCTGATAAGAATTTGTAAAATGACAGAGAAATTCATATCTCTGGTCCAATATCTTTAGTTCACTGACCCCTTTCCATGGAACAGGAAGGGGCCGTCAGTTTAAATCTTAAGGAAGATTGTCTTTAGTCTTCTGTCTTGGGAGGTAGAAAAGTTATCTTGCAATCACTGAGTGCAATAAATTATTTTTAAACAGAAAACTTATAGAAATCTTTCTCCTGTTTGATTTTATCTCCAGTGTTGCTATTAGTGTTGACAGGATCATAACTCAAGATCTTAATGAGTCTCCCCGGACTCAATAGGACTTTCTGTCTCAGTATTAACAATACCGTTAGAAACTTGTGGCTTAGCACCTTAACACAAAAAGGTCATTAGCCTGAAAATTTTAGAGATTGACATCCAGATTTATTGCTCCCCTTTTTGGGATGGTGCTTATTTTCTGCTTATTTTCTTTGAAAATTTTCCTATCCAAAACTTATAAGAGCTGTATTTTAAAAAAAATTGACTTAATTTGCGAGTGCATTAGTGGCTTAATAATAAATTATATAATTAATAATTAGGAGTGCTTTCTGACATTTACAACCACTCAAAAAAAAAATTAAGATTACAAAGAATGTCTCTGATTATTTTTCCTTTCAACATGAGCTAAATGTATAAGGAGAGAAATAGGATTTAATTAGAAAGCCATGATTTTATAAAGAGCCTGCCACAGAGACATATTGATTCTGCCATTGTCACTGCAGTCCTCGCACATGTCCCTTTTCTATGTGGCCACATGTCACCCAGGACTGGCTTTTATAACCTCTCTGCCATGAAACTAAATAATACAGAAAAAGCCATAAAAAAAAGGAACTGCAATGCTTTCAGCAATGAAGTTACATCAGCAGTGAGTTTCTCCTGTCTGATACTAAGTCAGCCTCTCTAATGAAAATTGCCAGCCTCAATTTGATAAATTAATTGAGGTAACTTTAATCAATAGACATTGTAATTCTCAGTCAGGGATCATCACAAGGTTGATTAGGCGGGCGGGCTTACAAATCAAATCTAATGAGTGAGGGGAGAGAAAGTTCTGCCAAGAAATGAGTGTTTATTAATTTTACACGATCAGAAACACATTATTATCAGGCCTAACGCTATAACTAATAGGTCTTGTATTACTGAACTCTGGCAGATCCTCACAAATATGATGCACATGTTTTGCCATCTGTACATTATTAAAAAATAACATTATTATAAGAAAGCAATAGACATTTTACATTGGCACCACACGCAAGTCACAGCAATGGACATTTTTTCATTGGCACTGAACAGAATTTTTCTGACCCTGCCCTGCATCTCCTGAATGTTTGGTCAATTATTGATACACATGACCTTGTATTCCCAGGGTGTCATGTCAACACATCAAGACTGTCAGAAAATTTACAGCCAGTCTGTCAAACAGTACAAGGAATCCCTCTCTCCCTCCAAAGTGTCAAATCTGGCGAGTCACTCTTAAGGGATGTAAATAAACTGGTCATAAATCAACAGGGATCTTAATGGGACTCAAGAGGGTCTGGTCTTCTAGACACAGCAGAGGGGATAAGTCTTCCTCTGATGTAAAAACAAAATACATGTCAGTGCTGTTAGTGGTGAGAGGCCATTACCCTGTACCAGGGCTTCCCAGCAGGTGCCCCCCAGTCATCGTCTGCTCCTCAGCTTTATCAGTCACACTCAGAAGCCTCAAGGATGCTGAGCAGAAACCACAAAAATGTGAGCAGAAGGACTGGGGGAAAGAAACAACACCATCAATAAAACCATCACTGAGACACATTTCTCTACATTAACAAAATTAAGGCATTGACTGTGTGTGTAATTTTTAAAACATTTTTTTTCAACTGCAAAAAGTGCAGTGTGTAGACACTTTTTGCAGATTTATCCCTAAGTTGACTCATTGAAGAAGAAATGAGATATTTTGCTGAGGTGTGTATTAAAGTCTATGACCCTAGAGGTCGACCACTGGCCTTGGTGTGTGATATGGAGGAAGCAGTGGGAGGGGTCCCATTATTAATCACATAATGACCCTAACTTGCACTCGACTTCAACAGGAGAAGAAAATAAATGGAGGGAATTGATATGGAGACCCTAACTCATCTATCACATGTCTTATTATACCGATCAGCTGACAGGTAGATTTTTACCTGCTGTTTACCTGTGCTATACAATATCTACTTGTAGATTATCATATACAATAACACCTCAACAGAGACCATAATAGCTATACTGACCTTCTGGCCACCTTTGGAGAAATATAAACATCCCCAATTCAAATCACACAAGTTTGTAACCATTAGATGTCCCTATAGACTTCTACTACAGACTTACAAACCTGTACCCATCTCCAAATGACCAAGTCCTAGCAGAAAATCAAGGGCCAAACTACTTTTATAAAGCAACAGAACAACCCCTTTTGAGAGGACTGAAGAAAACTCTTGACCTTTGATGACCTCAGACAGTTCCCAGGTTTTTTTTTTTTCACCAAGTATTATGAGAAAGAAAACATGTGACTAGATGACCCTAATTTCACTGATACATGCAGGTATATTCATTTTGTTTAATTCTCCTGAGAAAGAAGCAGATGATCTTTTCCCTTCACCTGAAGTACACACACAAAGATATGGTGAGAACTGATAAAGAGACTTAGCTTCAATATTTCTTAAAATTCCATAGAACATTTGTGACTCCTAACTTATTTTCATATACAACAAGTAAATTCCAAGTGGATGTAATGTCCTCTGCAGCTAGAACTCACAATTTATTCAATACCAGCTGGATAATGCAACATAGTCCTCTGCCAAAGTAATAATCATTTTCAATGCTAATAAAAATTATCTCCATTACTTCAAACCATCCAGTTTACCCAGTAGCAACATTTAGAACCCACAACCGTGCTGCAAATGCCCAAAATCTCAAATCTACCCATCCCCATCCTGAGCTGTAAAATCTCTCATCTCCCCTACCAGCTGTGAAATCTCACCTCTACCCCCAATCCGAAACAGAATTTATACTTGCATTGTTTCTGACCCCCCCTATGGTAAAGAGGGGACCCCCCTTAGGGCCACTTACCTCACTGATAAAGATGTCTGTGGTTTCATCCTCCAGAGATCCGTAACACAGGGTCAGGCCCAGCTTCTGATTGTCCACTGATCTGTGTAAAATAACCTCCTACAAGACAAGAGTCAAATTACTTCATAGATATCCTCTGTTAACTTTATACTGGAAGTTTGTGTTGCTTCCGTAATACCATTTTCATTCAGAAGAGAGTAAATGAAAACTGTTAGCTTCATCCATAGTGGTAATACTTTCAGTTTCACTTCATTAAAGACCACTATTTAAAATCAACATAATTTAGCGACTTGATGTGCTGCAAGGTTCTCAGGTTGATTTGAGAGACCCATCAAGGGCTCTTATATCCACTGAAGTCTGAAACGGGACCACCTTTCCCACAAAAAGAAGATTCTTCAGTTCTAAATGACTACTTCAACTCTCTTTTGATGTCACTCAACAATCTTTCATGAGTTATCACCCCTCTAAATGGCCAGCTTAATAATTAACAATATCATTACAATCAATGTGTGAGTATTTGCTTAAGTTGTTTAGATGGAGGGACGAGTGTTAATATAATGCCTCTGTCAACAGTCGCAGAACACCTTGTGTAAGGACTCGGTACACGGAGGATGTTTGAGTTGTAATTGGTGTTGTGTGATCCCCAATGTAAACAAAGCTGAAGTCGATCATTCATGGCTACCAGAGCAGGCTCAAAGGACAGAAATAGGAGAGGTTTATTGTGATTTAAACAAACTTTCAAGTCGGTAAATATCCTGAATGAGAGAAATCGGCAGAAACACGATCAAGGAAACCAAACCGTGTTAGAATTATTTTCAAACATATCATAAATGTATTTAGATTTCCTAAGGTGATTAAGCTTTTTCTTCCTTCAGCACGAATTCATCTACAGTTCAAGCACTGGTATGAACTTAGATTAATCCTGTACTAAAATTAAGTACCAAACAGCAAAGCGTGTCAATAGTCACAAGATGGACCAGTGTGGACTTAATGCAGAAAAAAATAAATTATACTTGGCAGCATCCACTTAATAAACAGCCCCTCTATAAGTCTCCTCCTTATTTATAGATTGCTAAATTGTCTCAACTGATGCACACAGTGGTAGCGGGGTCCCAGGTTTGATTCTTAGTCTAGCCATGTATTTTCATTATATTATATTTGAAAATTTTCAGTGTATTTTTATTCATTCCTCCTTTCCATGAGAACATCCACAGTAATAACTTACAGTTATAATGAAATTCACATACACAGTGCAAAGCTCATGTTTTTTTTTTAATTTATTTTTGTTTAAATTTCAACTGAATTTTCATCAATTTTTTACAATATTACAATTATAATACACATGTACATCATTTCCAAGACAAGAAGCAATTTTTATCAGAGACAAGATTAAGTCTGTAACAATGATTACTTATAAAACATCTAAAAAATCAACTTAAATTTCACAAGTAGATGCAACGCAAGAAGTACATGTATTGTTGGTTGCTTTTTCAATAAGTGCTGATTCAACAAAATGTCTCTGGATTTTATTTGCTCTAACAAAACAGAGGAACAAGATGGCTGTCTGATTAAGGCAGGATTGACAAACTTATCTCCAGAAACATGGCGTTAAGTCGGAGATTGAACAAAAACATATGATAAAAGGTATTCCATGTTTCCCTGTCTTACATTACAGGAGGGGTATACTGTACACTTTCTAGACTCTAACCCACATCATTAGGGGGAAAAAAGAGCATTGAAAACAAGCACCTGTTCTGTTGAAGAAAGCCCCTCATTTCTTCTTTACCTCAAATAAAAACTCAAGTTGACTCATTTGATCAGATAGCAGATTTTTCACTTGTCTTTTGACAGATGTGATTTTTTTTCTGAATCAGATTTTCTTTTTTTTTATGATAAACATCTGAATTTAACATGAATTTATGGGGTATCTATTTCACATATGAACAAAGAAAATTCCCTTTATCCAAAATATGATCAGTTACAGTATGTGAATTTCATTTCAGAGAACATGCGATTGTAATACCTTAGCACATTAATAAAACCTCAGTGCATATCTCGCAACCACTGCTTGATTTATCTGGCGTTACTGCATGAGATGTGTAATCTATACCTATTCATTAAGAAGGATACCTTTACAAATGAAGTGCACCGGGGTCATTCCCGGTGACCCCAGGTTCTTAGTCTGCACAGAAAGACATCATGTAAGCTTATAGATGGCAGCAAGGCCAACAGGGGGAGCAAATTAATATATTTAATTTCAAAAAGATCCATAAAATTATTGTCAAACTGGTACTCATAAAGGGTTACAGAACAAAGCAGCCGGACACCTCTTCATCTGTTAATCAGATTAAATTCACACTACCAAAAAAAAAAACAACCTTATCCTTGTCAATCATAAAAGCATAAATAACAATAAAAATGGATTTTTGTGTGGGACAAAAAAAAAAACAACTCATTAAATGCAATAAAAAATTGTCGCTATCTTGAGTAATTCTGCACCCAGATGTAATAGTATCACACTTCTGTGGTGCACGGTTTTTTTTGATACTGGAGAACTTAGTGTCGAGTTTAGTCTAATTAAACCACATTAGTCAAGGAATAATCTTTATCTTGTTCATTGTGACTGACAGCTGAATAATAGGACTATTAGAGAGTCATTACACAATTATCTTCAATGTTTTTGAGGTGGTATTTCATCACTTACGATGTGACTCCTCTCCCGTGACAATAAAATCGTATTCAGGATCAGACAACTCAGATGACTTATAAATCTACACTGCACAGAACTTAGTTTCCAACGTGACAAAGTTCATTTATAACAATTTCTAGCAATATAAGACGGGTATTAATTAGTATCAGAAATGCTAAATATTACACTACTCTCTAGGAATGAGTTTGTATCTGACATTAAAAGTGCTGGTGGAAAAGTTGCTTGTTAATCAATATTTTTGTTCCTTACCTCGTATTCCATTTCATATCCGATTCTGTCATCAAAGTACGGATCATCGTAATCTAGATTGTGAGCCATTTCTATATCCGTCAGGCCCATGTCCGTGCTCGGAGAGAACGCCAGTGGCCGTCGAGTTCCAGGCTGGTACAATCTGTCAAAGAAATGGACAGATGCGTAAAAAATTTAAAAATTAAGTAAATGACTGCATCAGCTTGGTTACGTTTGAGCTGCATCTTAAGCAATGCTGCACGTATAAACATTCACTTCATCCTGAGAGGCTTCCAGAATAAACTTATAATTAAAACATACAGGGTTAAAGTAAAATTATATTAAATTAGTTACTTGAAATCTGACAATTAAAAAGCCTATATATGAACTGCAGTATTTCATGAATTCACCGTTTACCAATGATACAAATGCACTCTATTAAATCTCCTCTGTTTAAGAAAATGCAAGTCAAAAAAATGATACAAATCTGCTTTTTAAATTTATTTGACAATTTCATTTGTTAAAAGGAAGTTAGGCGCCGCCACTGAATCAACAAAATGCCGACACCTTTTTCCTGTGAAAAAAACCCCACTAACACTGTAGACTGTAGAAAAAAAATGTCAGATTTATTGGTATTAAACTATCAACCACTGATCTGACAATTTTTCATATGATATATGGCGTTTGTCTGCAGGTATCCAGTTAATAGTGAACGTCTTGGTGCAATGGTCTTTCCTCGGTCCACATAAACAATAAAATTTGACAGACTTCAGAATATTGTCATAGAAATGTCTCTGTGTAGTTTATCATACCCACCATATCAAATAATCTTCTATGGTGTTGAAACAACTAAAGAGATGAGATTTCAGAAGTCTCATTTTGATTAGTTTGTGTTAGAGCAATACGTGAAAGAAACACACCACAGAATCTCACTGTCCAATAGGGATGACATGATGGAAATTTCACAAACCTCCACGTTGCCTTTTCTTAATTATCACAGATATTTTTGGAGCAATAAACTTATATGATCCTCTGAACTATAAACAAAGTAGCTGATCCATTTCCTTTATCAGACAAGAATTTTGTAAGGGTGCTGTTTTTTCTTGATGAAATGTCATAAAAAACATAGCTGTAAGTTATCATAGATTCCTTCCAGAAAAAAATGGTGTCATCAAGATAAGACGGGAGGCAATAGCATTTCATTTTTTGTTGATATTAAGGCTATGATCCTTATCTGATATCTAACATAAAGAAGCCAAAATCTACATGTTAAATGTGTACCCCCAATAACAGGGGATCAATTACCTTCATTATTCCTATCGCGATAACAGAAAATATGTCCCTTTGTTACGCAATGTTAGATTCCAAGAAAGAAAAGCATTGTAAATACAGACAACACCAGGGCTGAAAGAAAAAGCTTTTAAGCTCGTGTTCAGGGAAGGCTAAATTCCACATCCCATATAAAAATGTCATATGAAAGTTAATGTAACATTTAAGTAAAGCCTTTGATGTGTGGTTTTACGAGATGATGTATTCTGGGTTTAATGGTTCCTAACTCTCTACGCCATCAACAGGTAGCTACTGTTTCCACCTGGGTATTATGTTTGAAGTTGTGCACTTCTGTATTGGTCCCCAAAAAAGCCAGAGGCAGTTAGAAAATTGGAAAAGAATATAGACTTTTTAGCATAGACTACGTACTTAATTTACATTTAAATATCATTTATACAATTACAGATACAAGTTTGTTTTTTATTTTCCGGTAAAAAATTTGCAGGAAGAGTGATTACTCTAGGATAAATATAGTGCCAGAAAATATGCAAGTGCTAATTAAAAAATTTGAAAATAATTCTGTGAGATATTTTGTCTGATTTGAAAATCTTTTAAAATATTTTAAACAAGAACTCTTGGAATCATGTCTACGTAAACACAACTGGCTGATTCAGTCTGTAAACTCTTCTCAGTCGTCATGTGAAAATACGAAAAAAATGTTAAAAGGTAAATCGTGAAAACATACCACATTGTTTGCTATGCTGAGAGATATTGTGCAGGGCTGAATTTGACAGAAAACAATTTATACATAAAATTGTGCAGATCTGGAGGGTTTCTTCTTTTTTTGCTTTGTTTTGTTTAGCTTGCTTTTCTATAATTTCTGAATAACATATATCATGACTTTTTGTAGCGATTTTATCACGACTCTTTGGAGTGATACCTAACAAACAAGACACTACTGGTATTCAAAAAGTTGTCTTTGCAGGCACACGTAATCTTCATGTTTATAAAAAAAAAAATGCGATTTCAGAAAGTGCATGCTCAATTCCAGCTGGAAAATTAAATCTAATTAAACTAATAGCTGACACCTCAAAATCAGTAATTTTTATATATCACCAAACTTAATTTTCTCTTTGATCTTGATAACATACACTGTGTTAATCCAGACAAGAATATATTGGCTTTGTTTGATTTAAGTCAATGTCTTTTAGAAGCAAATGTATCCCTAACTTTTATCAAGTCTGTAAAACCTTTCATCCTCCCTCCTTGCAAAACAAAAATCTCCATTTTCATCCAAGGTTTATCTTTTTTTCTTTACATAAAAAACACCAAGAATAAATACCTCGGGCATCTGTTCTTACTGTACCTATGGTTATCATGGCAATAAAGTTCTTACCATGAGTTACGGCACCCAAGTGCCAATCAAACTCTAGGGTCATAAAATATAATTACACAGCTCTGAAATTCTCAGTGAGGGTGGTTAGGAAACAATTACAACTCATTTAGTATTTATTTCTTCCCCTGAATTAACTCAAGACAACAATCTTCTGGAGGGCTATACCCTTTAGCAGGAAAGATTATAAATTTGCAATCTTCTTCAGAGCCATTTACGTACCAAAGAGATAAGAGAGGAGGGGGCTTTTAATTATTACATTAATTACATCTAATTAAGTCATCATACGGCACTGTTAGTCTTCATGTTGTTGCTGCTATAACTATGCTAAAATTCCAGCTGAGGTGAACCACATGACTATAGACTGCAATGTTTTGCCAAAGTAAATTTTCTTTACAAGAGGTAATCCCTCTGCAGCTAATACTGGGAGGGGGAGGGATGGGGATTGAATGACTACCCATAAGTGGAACAATAAAATTGCAATCAGTCTGTACACAGGCAGCATATATAGATACACAATACAGGGGTAATATCTTAGACTAAAGCACAATGGTAAGAAGGGTTGGTGGGTGGTCTCCCCTACAGGAGTACTCTCCAAGAGTAACACACAACACTTACCCTGAGGGGAAGGGGGGGGAGTAAAAAAGGTAGTAACACACAACACTCTCTCTGGGGGTACCTGGGGGTAGGTAAAGAAGGGAGGGGTGAAGTAACACACAACACTTACCCTTGGGGGGGGGGGGGTAGATAAAGAGGGGAGGGGTGGAGTAACACACAACACTTACCCTGGGGGGTAGGTGAAGAAGGGAGGGGTGGGTGGCCTCCCATACAGTTCCTCCTCTGTCTGGGTTGATGTGGACACCATATTGGGTGGAGTATTCTTCATCTTATTCTTACTGACCCGTCTGAGGACCTCTACAGTGATCGGCTCGGACGCCGCTCGGAATGCCTCCACTGCCTCCTCGTGACTAGCTTGTGACAAATCCTGACCATTTACCTATAAATAGACAAGGAAAATACCCTCCATCAGAAAATTAATCAAACATACCCTCTATACACTGCACTAAAATTCAGGACATTTAAAACAATGTAACTGTTGCACATAAATTTTTATCATCAAAAAGTCAACATGTACATCAGATACTTTTAAAATTTAATATCATTACACATGCCAACAGCATCATCAGGTCTGCAGGACAACGAATGTTCAGATTAATTAAACTTTCATTTCTCAGTGTCTGCCAGACAATAAAACTGCAGACAATCCAAGATAAAACAATCAAACTCGGCAATAATGAGCAATTATCCGCAAATTATCCGGCTTCATTACACAATAGAGACCGGCATTACATAAATATTTGATTTCCCTCTGTAATCTTTCTATTGGAGTACTGCAACATGACAGCTAGCAGTGTCAACATGAAGTCCAATGTCACGAGATGTCAGACTATGGAAACTCAAAATTAAAAAAGAAAACGGCATTCCAGGCTTTAGTGAGTCATGACTTCTATAAGTACCTAACAGGTGCTTGGTGCTGAGGCTGGCCTTGCTGGCTGATTCATTACTGATGTACACCTCTCATTAGGAATCTATAAATGACTAATTACTCCCTCCTATTATTCTACTATTCCCATTACTCTTCAATGATTGCCTATGAATTATTACTGTTTATATCTAACACTGGCCAGTTATAGCGAATTGTTAGAGATTTATCAATAATTAAAGATTCTACATGTACAAGGTGTAAACTGGGATCTCCAATTGCTTAGAAGATCTGTAATTATTAATTACAGCGTTAATTAGGTTTAAACTAAATAATGCTTTAACCTTTCCCAAGAGACATTTTATTCAATTCTTCCTCCTCGACAATAGGGTTGTCTGTGACAGTTCCTATTGTAGGACAAAGTGAAAAATTTACTTGAAGCTTTCATCATAGGTGTACGATATTTCTACCTCCTGTAAAAAGCACAACTTTTCTGCATTAAAATTTAATGTGCTTTTCATATAGAAATGAAATTTGTTTGATCTTTTTTTCATCAAAAAAAAAAAAAAACATGAATATTTTAGATGTCAGACCTCAAAAGGACATGATAACCTTTCGTTTTTACCCCCAAGGACCACTGAATATTTGCAGTCATGCTTTGATTTCGGAATGCGCATACCTTCTGCAGGTCAATAAAGTGACACAAAAGTGTAAATATTTACCGCATTTTTCCTTGACAGGTTTTTATATAGATGTCATCGTTCTATTCTTTTGACAAGAAAACAAATCACTCAATGATTGAATGAAATTTATACATTCTTAATTCTAAACGCCTAATGAGACAATAGACCAAATAATATAAAGACAATTGTTTTTCGAAAAATGAAAAACGATCATATTCAAAATATGGAACAAATAGTGTTGAAGTGTTTTTGGAATTTTTTGATAAAAGATTACTTTTGTTAATTGTTTGCAATAGAAAACAGGATCTATTACCATAATATAGAAGTTACCAAACTTCAAAAATTCTATAAAAATCTGAAAGATAAACCTGTTAAACTTTCATTCATATGAAGTAAAAAAGCTTACACATTAGAGATACGATAAAAAAAAAAAGGTTTTCAAGAAAAGGAAGAGAAAAATTTAAGCAATATTCCTCACAAGAAATCTTCAAAACACGTCAACACAAATAAAGCCGGGATCAGGTGTGTTAGAAGATCCGAGGTGAGAGTCATCGATTTCTTCAGAAATACACTTTTGTACTTACTGATCAAACAGAGCGAACCCTCGAGTAAATACCAGATAATTAGCAGCAAATCAATGTTTCCTTTCCATAATAAACACTAAACAAATCTAAGATGCTGCCTAGCTCTACCTAAGTAAACACCATACTGTTTAAACCCCAAGTCGGTGCAGTAGACTAAATTCAGAGACTAATGCCCAACTAAATAGTTCTGCTATTTCGCATTTTTCAAGAAGCAGAGTGATGGTAAATCATGCATTCAATTTCTTCTGCAATTAATGTTTTTAGGAGATTTTGGCACTTGCACTCAGTCTCTTAGCCTCTACCACTGTATGCAAGAGGTAAGCTGTTCTATATTTAAAACCTTGCTAATTCAAACTAGCGCCAATCATAATTATGCCTTGACTGGAACAATTCCACAGGGAATTAATAAAACAGTATGCAGAGTAATTTGGGAAATAACTGCCTGGTGTGTTAAGACACAGAACTGACTTTATTCTGGAGCAATGATTGACAGAGCAGCCATTATCACATGTTAATAGCTCCGAATATTTTGTCTTATTGTCACCATTTCTACACCATTTACTAGTGAAGCCACACTTACTAACATTTAAATGAATCAGAGGCATTAACTTCTTCTCTAGAATAATATGGTCTTTAGTTTTTAATATGTATTTCATACTTCTACTTTATCCATGAACTAAAATAACATTTAGAACTACATAAATCTCTGTTTTATCTGACTAGATGACATCGGCATCTGATGAAGCGTGCACATCTGTAAATTGAAATCGGAAGCTGCAGCACTGTGCAACAGTTGCACTCGGGCAGAAGACAGACTGATACTGTGTGATGTTTCCTATCTTCAGTGTTGTATAAATCAACAAGTTCCCTCATCAAGTAAAAGCCCTTCATGTTTTTACGAGATATTTCTGTTTCACTTAAATCCCCCCCTGACAAACTTCAGTCACTTAACCTTTAAATTCATCAGAAAACATCTAACAGAATGAGTAACATAATGTAATCAAAACTGTGCTTCATCTTTGCGTTTGCTTGTTGGTTTTTTCCTTGACACCCCTATACCTATGTTTCATTCAGGACTTCTTTCAGTGTATTAAACAGAGCTTCCCCAGATTCAATCTCGATCCCGCTATTATATCTCGATCGATCTCGCTAACATCACTGAACAAAAATAGCCGCATGCAGCAATCTCTGATCACTCAACAGTTGGTTGGCTTCATTTTTTTCCAGCCCGATTTCTTTTTTCTTTTCCTTTACAGTTCCCGGGCAGTAATATTTTATTTCCATCATCTTTTATAATTGTATGATGGATGACTTAAGTATCAGTTGTATCACACTACCTAATCTGTTTGTCTTGTACAGCTGATGTTGCTACCCTTCAGCTAAATTCATAAACGGAGACACATCCAACCATCCCACATATGGCCCCCAAAACTTCTAAATGATTCTCTATTTTTCAGCACAATATCAGTCTTGGCCACTAGCTATGGAACTTCTGTCTACATTAAATATCAAATATCAATTAGCAGATCAAAGAGTAGGTGAATCATTTTTACATATTTATATATCAGGTGCTAATGGCCAAGTTCAACATGTTACCAGGTTAGATGCATGGTAAAGAGGCAAAATTCCTCTGTTTAAATGAACAAAATATTGTAAACAAACTTTTTTTTCCAGGGAATCACAATTTTTGTTCAATCCTCAGTCACAAAATTTCGCGGCTTTCTTAGATTGCCTTTGTATGTCATAAATGCACTTTTTGTACGCCGTGTCAAATTTCCGTGGACAATTTGTGACCTTGCACACAGTGTAAATTAAGCAGCACATATACAGTATTTCACCATTTTTATATCATCAGGTAAATTTATAGTAAAAATAAATTTCATTGATCAAGTTTTGTGATTGGGTCAGTCATTTACAAATGTTTCCAAGAATTGTGACATCTGGGTTGAGCATTCGTAAGTATAATATAGCTTTGATCTCTCCTCATGCAGAAAAAACTGCTTCAGATACAAAAGTTTACAATTCCCATGTCATCAGCATAGAGGGTGAATTATATGTGTTCACATATCTAGAGGTCCTAGCTATTCAGTATTGGTACATTACATAACTCAGAGACAAGCTAGAGATACCTGATTTTCTATTGTAAGCATTATCTGCTGCTTGTCTCCCCTGATAATCTTTTATTACCAGAGCCTAATAAGATTCTCTTTTTTAATAAAGCCCAACAAATACTCCCTCATTGATCAAGCGACATCAGCTTACAGAACTTATTTGTCGGACAACGTTCATACATCTCTGGCAGAATCAATGAGCGATTATTTTCTTTTTCTTCCACGGAACGTCTTTATGTTCCAATTTGGACGAGTCTTCATTGCTTTTTTATGATATGCTAACCACTGTGTCTTACACAAAAAGAATAGATTATTGACAATTTTGCATGGATGAATTCCATGTTTTAAATGAAGGATTGCAGCAGTAACAGATGACATGACGATAAACACAATCAGTCTCAACTCTGGTAACTTAATAATCTAGTCACGTTTCTTCATATTAAAAATATTTAATCATAAATGTTAAAAAGCAAGAGTGTCATCAAAATCTGTGAAAAAGTTTCCTGCAATTTTTTTGAAAAAGACAGTGCTCCATCTATTACATCCCAAAGCCAGGATAATGTATGCAAACGGAAATATAACCATCAAGGAATAAAATATGGCAAACATAAGCTATTTATCCTCACACAGTTTGAATTAATTATGAATTTTTTTTCCTTACAAACCTTTTTAAATGTTAATATGAAGAAGCATTAATCCACTCTCTAATTACAAAGCCCACATTAAACCTTCAGCGATACTGCTCTTGTGCTGTCCAAATTGGTCACGATTCCACAGTCTCCCTCCTACGAGTGGCAATGAGTGGTAACATAAGAACGGTAAAACAGAAAGGTGGTAACGAGTGGTAACATAAGAAAGGTAACACAGAGTGGACAAGCTAAGAGTCTGGGTTTCCCATCTCTAACCAAGGTAACACGAATCAATAAACACCTTACTTATTATTTTTGTCTCTTCATTGATTCTGCCTTCACCATCTTCCTGGAAATCTCACAGCAAGTAACCATCCTTATGAACTATTGCAGATGCTGAGGCAATAACCACTGGTACTTTGTTCTATAAAATCTCATAATTCTTTCATCAAATGCAAGCAACACAGAACATTACTGTTTCCTCGTTATGCAGGAAGCATTTGATGC